GCATCATGCCACCCCAAGCTTCACTTGGGGTTCCATGACAGCTGTTCCAGTCAGCAGCGAGGATCGACCAATCAGCATTGAGATTCAGCTTGGTTTGGCTGGCAGTGTGCCGACTTTAGTACAGGGATGATGTCAGCAGTATACATGTCGTTAGAGATGGAGGAGGTGGGAGAGATGAACATCTCTCCTGCCCTGGAAAAATTGTTACCGTCGCCCTGGTCGATTCCCCTGAGAATCGACTACCCCCTTAGAAATTTGGTAAGCTTGCGCAGAATATTAACCACTTCCTGCCGGGGATTCTGGTATCGGACACGTATGCTTTATATGCGTGGCCAGAGTCTCCGAAATCGGACAAAGGGAACTGGGCCTTGTAACAAAAGACCGTACTCGGAACAAAAGACCAGGCTGCTGGACATTACCAACATTTTTTCACCCTCAGTAGTGGAGATAATCCAGCCTTGTTTTGAAACAGTATACCACGGTTTGGGGCATATGTGCGAGCGGATTACCACCGGGGACAAAGGCGCTCCACCACCACAGTGATGAGCCACACAGCACCGCTGCATGCTAATCTGGCCTCTATTGAAAAGAGGTCAGCAGTGCACTGTGCCAGATTTGTGAACAAAAGAAAGTTATATAACACCACACAATCTGGGCTCTTTTGACAAGGTTGCAGGCCTGGCTGAAATACTTGGGCATCAATAGATTTTGTCTGTCAGACTAGAGTGGCCACCAGATAGTCCTTTATGTGGGTGTAAGTGTCCAATAAATGAAGATAGGAATTTTTAAAGAATTTTGAAAACAGGAAAAAATGATAATTATCCCACCCCAGCATCATCAACATTGATAACTGCCACCGGCGCGAAGTCGTTAAGTCACAAATATTATACAATGTACATGTACCAAAATCTAGCAATATTAGTAAGTAGCTGTGAAGTTGGATCATAAAGCTGTTCATTCATTGCTTTTTTCAAATTAATATTCATGAGACAAATTATAACACTGAGTAGCACTGACACTGGAAATTACTACGTTATTATAAAACACTGTTATACCTGTAACTTCAGTGACTTTGGTGGATGGATTTAACCCTACAAGTTCTGCATAAAATTTGCCTTGCAGTACTCAGTACTACAAAGTACTAAGCAGTAGTCTCAGCCTGGAGGACCTAGCCCTACAAATGACTACTTTTAGCTGGGGCACCCTCCACTGCTACTCGTACAGAGAACAGTAAGCTGTGCATTCATAGTGCCAGAGCACTGTATGGAACATTGTCTTATCTACTGTATTTTATGGCTTCAGAGAACAATAAGGTCATGTCCTCTTACAAGCGACAGTACTGTATATTGCATGTACATTTTACTACTAAGTAGTACTTTGTAGTATTCATCGCTGTTAGGGTTAACAGATATTGGACTCTCCTCCCCCTCCCCCCGGTATTATCTACATGTAGCTGTCTCCTCCTGTCATCCCACTATAGACAGACAGAACTCTTGCTATGCCACTGGATAACATGCCTCTGATGAGGCTGTCACCTAGCTACGATACGAGGGGCATTGTTTGGGACAGGGACTCTCTGAACAACCTACCAGCAGAAATAATTGCCTGGTGATCAATATTTCATGCATGTTTGCGACATATGCAACCAATCCACGTGGACCTGTGCATTGTAAAAAATAATGAGAAATAAAGTTGAGTACACAGAAGCTAGATACGAGGCAATACATGTACCTCTGCCGCTTGCATGGTTTGCTGTCCTGGTTTAAGAAAACAACACTTCTGCCAGGTAAATTTCACAGCTGAAAAATCCTTGAGGGCCTGTGACTTTGTGTATAGTGTGATAGGGTTACACTTGGAAATGATGGATGTAAACTGGGGTGTGACAGTACTCAAATTGCTGTAGCATTAGGCATCGGTAGTTACAGTGTTTATGGTACATGTAATTGATTTGTGTCCAGATCCATTGATTTTTGTTTACATTTATAGTGTGCAGACACGTGTAATTTCAAGGACTTTTTCCACAAGGACATTGTTTTTTTGGCAGGATTAAGTATTCATTTTCTAGTAAAAAAACCTCTGTTGGTGATTTTGAGTTTAGTTTGTCTTGCATACAGAGAGACCTTTCAGTTTTGCGCATGTACATGTAGGTATGTAATTTTTCTACATTGCCCTGTGTAATAAAAAAGCAGTGTGGCCACGCAAACGTGACAAAGTAAGTGGCCATTTTTATGTCACCTGCATTGAAGCCTTTATGATGCGAACTTGGAAGTTTGGAAATGTAAACAAATGCCACAATCACTCCTATTGTCATGGCCGATAGCTGGGAGCAGACAAGCATATTTTACAGGTGCTGTTGAACTTTCAATTCATCAAAGGCTTTTGTTGAAGGATATTGTATTTTTCATTTGCTGAAAGCTACTCTTGTTTTCACAGAACTGAATTTTGCTTCAAAGCCTCAGTAGGGGATCACTGTGTGTAAAATTGAGATCACCTGTTCTCTGAACTGGACTTTAAGCCAACACCTGATCATTGAATCAGCCGATTTTGTCATTTTTTCCCCCTGGTGTAGAATTACAGATTGAAAGCATTTTTGCAAAGTTTTGCATAGCTTTACATTGTTTTTCTCAATTTTTTTTCTGAATCCTCTGTCACGTATGTATACCAGTACATGTGTAGGTGGGTTTCTGTGAATTCTGGCTGATCTGACTTGTTTTATGCAAAAGATAATTGCTTCAGTGAGTTTCAATGTTGGTACATGTACCTGCAAAGTTAGCTGTAAAATTGTAGGGACCATAGTTGTTTGCAAACAATGCGTTAATTTCAAGTGAAGTACTGGACTTGAGCATTTTAAGCAAGATGTGGGATGGAGAGAAACCCCCCCCCCCTTTGTGTTGGTCATTGTTTGATCGGAATTTCAGGAATTCTTTACAGAAATACGATTGAATGATGATTTTTAGTAATATTTCAGTTCATTTTTTTGAAAATCCCTGCTGGGCGGCACAATTTGAACCCGAGAGTCGGGCGGAAATTTGCTGTACTGGGCGGTGCCGTCTGGCGCCGCCCACCGTGGCTAGAGCATTGGCCAGAAGTTATTTTTCTAATCTCAAGCATTTTATGCAGATGTCCTCAATTCTAACTCTCCCCGTAGCGTCAACATGTGGGGACTTTTTGTAAGGAATTAATCCCCAGTAAATTTCTATTTGTATAAAATCCCCGGGAACTCTGTTTGCTGTAACTTCCAAATTGTAACAACAAGCCTCATCTTAGGTAATGCAGGGGAGACCCTGCCTCCCTGGGTTAGGCCAAGCTTGCAAATTCCTTACAATTTTCCAGGTGACTTGAAGAATCTTGGGGATGAAGGTTAAGTTTGGCATTGATGGAATATGTACATTCACAGCCCAGCTTTCAAGACCCCTCACTTAGCCTCATGTTTTAAAAACAAATTAAATTTATATCAAAACATAAACAGTGATTTCCTGAAATTGGGTTTGATAATACAGTGCACATTCAATGACATTCTGCCTTGAGACTGGTCCATCTGCACATACATGTACCAACTTTACATGCACGCATGTACATATACGAGTACATGTACATGTACGTGTACATGTACATATGCCTTTAGCATTCTTACCCCATGCTGTGCACACAGTTGACAACTTCTGACTCTATACATTATTTTATTGTCGTTCAGACAGCCTCGTTAATTTTTTCAATTGAAAAAAAATCCATGCTTTATTGATCCACTCAGGTCTGCCAAATGCTTGATCACGTTCCAAAAAATGTTAATTCTGCTATTAGAACAGGTGCAGAAAAACCTGGTATGCCTGGACCATCACCATGGCAACAGAGGTTAATGATGCCAGTTCCATACAATATGCTGTGTAACAAGTGCTCATAGCGATGGTTGAATATTTGGGAAAAGCTATGCAAATTTTGACCACAATGCAAGGTCTGAATGTAAAGGAAGATTGATTTTTTGTGCAAGTCTGATCTGATGTATTGGTGAGAAGTACATGTACAGTGTTGGTAAATTTTGTGCCAGCAAAAGGTACTGAGTTTATTTTGTACCTGAAGGATAGTGGTGTGTATTTCTGTCATTTATCTTTGATGCCGTTATACATGTATGTGGAATGGTCACAACAGAAGCCACACTTGAATGAAAGGTAATACTCTTGCATTATATTTACTCAAGTAACTGGGGCACACAGTCATTTACTTGTAATAGCGAACCTACATGTACTGTATATTTTATCATCTTTGGAGGGATATACATGTATCATTTGTACTGCATTTGTTTTGATTTTCCTCCGTAGGCCTTTTTTTTTTCTTTGTACTTTTTCTTAAAGTAGTGTTTAGACATTTAAAAAAAAAAATTATGAGCATCTGACTTATGCTGACATTTTTAACATGCTTTATTGCTAGCCCGACACAGAAGTTTTACTGATTTCCCCAGCAGTGTCACTAATTTCCCCAGCAAGTTTTCGTTGAATTCCCTGGAGCACATTAAAATTGTTGTCCTGGGTTGGCACTGAGCAACAGATGTATTCACATATATACATGAAAGGCAAATCCCTACCAAATCCTGCCATTAACTGTAATTCCTGGTGGAGAGGTCAGAGGGGTTACTTGACACGTTCATAAATTGTCAGAGTATTTTTTTCCGATGCAGTTCCACTGTTTGGCTCGACGAGACAGCGAGGGTCCCAAATCAAGACCAGAGTTGAAGTGGTTGACCCAGGGGTGCTTATTTGTCAACAGTGACACACCTCGACCCCCTACCCCTTCCCTCCCCCACATTTATTGAAAGAAAAGTGTCCCGTAAAGTCACATTGTCAGATGGTGGACAGATGTTGTGGAAGAGTTGAGGAAAACTCAACATAAGAAAGGGATTTACAGGGGAAAAAAATCTCCCCCACAATGTTGCCCTGGAAAGCCCAGGTACACCTACATTTCAAACCCAGAAAAAGCAAATAATTAACAATTTTATGCATATATGTACATGCATTGGAAGACATGCATGTCTTTTGATATGCCCACCTTTCGTGGCACTGTGGACACTCGGTGCATGTTAACTGCATAGAATCACATGAACAAGCACGAAAATACATCTTCAAAGTGTCTTGAGTAGGCCTACACTTCATGTACATGTATGTACATGTACATGCCCATTGTCCATGAACATATTATGAACGTGTTTGTACAATGTACAAGAACACAGATGCATTTACGCAGGGTTAGTTACACTGCTACAGTACATTCAAGCAGAAACCCCTTGAGGAGGGTAAATTGATATTTATGGCACTCCTGAAAGTTAGGACAATTTACGGCCGGCCGTGTGGACCCACTGCGACACAGCCTGCTGATTGATAGGAATGGCATGATCATGTCCAAGTCAAGTAGGGGTAACGTTCAGTGTTCACCGCCCCTACATAATGCACCGTTGTTACAGCCTCACTCAGTTTATTGCCGGTACCCATTGTGCGGAAGGTGTCAAATTTAATTGGTAACCTGTATCCTGTGAATCATTTATCATTGATTGAGGACAGATAGATTTGTCTTGCTGCTTGCGACAGCTGAGCCGTCCAAATCACAGGTAAACTGCTGTCCTATGCAGGAATGTGTAATATGGTGAGTGCAGGTGGATAAATGCTTTCAAGTTGCCTAGGACGTGTACACTGTATCCTGCCATGGCTACTGGCGATGCGTACAGTATGTGTGGGCCGTAGTAAGCATGGCTCATGACATTTCTGCATTCTGAACACATGTATTTTGAGCGGGGTTGGCATTATTTGGAGGTCTGCACAGTTTAAGTACTGTACATGTACGTGTATATTTACGTGCATGGTAGAAGGATCTATAAGTGTGGCACTCACTCTTAGATTGAAATCAGCATTGGTATGCGGAAATTTCACTGTTCTCTCTACAGAGGTGTGAGAATTCAGCTTTTTAGCTGATTTCAGTTTTCTTTGGTTTGGATGTTGACCCTGAATTTCAGCTTTTTTGTACACCTGGTCCATGTATGTACCCCCGGTACAAAAGTATGGGAACATTTTACATTTCAGCTTTGTGTTAGGTGTCTTCAGCTTTAATTGTTAAGTGGCCTCTCACACCCCTGTCTCTAAATTCTGTAATTTCTGCACAGAAATCTCACCTACATGTATAACCATTTTTGTTTTTCCAGTCTTTATTCCAATTCAAGACTCACATGTACATAATACAACAATGTTGTTTGTCATTTTTCTACCAGTTTGACTAAATGCTCTCTGTAGAGAGCCAGTCAACCATGGCAGGCTGGGATGCGCAGAACTCGTCCGCTTTTTACCCATGGAGTCGGAGCCACGCCCCTGCCGGCCACACCTCGACCAGCCACGCCCCTACTGGCCACGTCCCTCCTGACCACACCCCTGCCAGCCACACGCCTGCCCACGAGGACTTTGTCTCCAAGTACCTGCGGAGCCACACCCTCCAGGCCACCACCAGCCCGGACGAAGGCTTCCACCACCACCACACCCAACACCACAGTCACCGGTCAGGTCTGCTGTTCACGTCGCCTCGTTCTGGCCGGCGGCTGTCCCAGACGTTCGGACCCTCGTTTTGCAATAAGGACAACCTGGAACAGTGTGTCTCATACCTAGACCAGGTTGGTATACAAAGTGCTCGTCTCTTTCTTTACAGATAAGAAACAAAAAAAGTTATTATCCTGGCAGGTTTTTAAAAAAACAAGTGTCTGGAGAATTGGACACAGCTTTCTTGCAAGTGTCCGGACAACGGCGTTGCCTTTGTTATTACAGAATGTACATGTAGTGAAGAAGGTACATTATACAAGGATTGCGTTGTTATTACTGTACCATTGAACACACTTGAAGACAAAAACAGTGTTGCAAAATGTTGAGAGTCTTTACCACAGAATGAAACATGAATATTAAATGCATGATGTTAATTTTGGCGTTTTGAACATGATGCATTATATTGGTCCATAAAATAGCAGTAGCGTCACATGCACAAAGGAATAAAGTCACATGACTACTGTATGTCTGTATTAAATTTTTGTCTACTATGCATACAAAAATTTACGCAAACTTAACCTGTTGATTTGGTGAACAAACCTTAGGAGGTCATTGCTGGGCGGTCTTTGTTCACTCTGTGGTTTCATACAACATTGAAGTGTGCAGACGTCGTTACCATTTTAGCCAATCTTGACAGACAGATTTGAAGTTATCAGTATTGGTGCAAGGCAGACCTTGTTGTGAGCAGAAGGGAAGTGGATTGGGCTTTAAACAGAGTTGGACCTTGTTCGGTTCGTCTGTACCTTTTTACATGCAAATGCACTTCTCTGAAATCAGGAAATCCATGTTTGTACCCAAACTCGTGACGATTGAACTCTGCCTAGCAAGTTTGATTTTGTAGAAGGAGAAGTTGTACCTGATGTTTCATACCTTGTTTTGTTGTATGTCCGTGTATTTGTTGGAGGAATAAATAATGAATAACTTCATGAAATGGACCGACATTGTTAAGGTGTTCTGCAACATGTCCAAACCTGCCTAGTCAGCCTGCACAGATTCCTCACTCGTGCGTAATGCAGTCTGTGCTTCCCTTTGGTTTAATGACACAGACTACTGTCACATCCTCTTGTTACTAATCACTTCCTTCGGCAAACCCACGATGCGTTTTTCCCTTGGCTTCTATCCCACTTTGGCTCTTCAGTGGGTTGGTGTGTTTACACTCGCTCACAACCCTCGCCCGAGTCTTTGACGTTATTTCCTCCCTGTGGATTTCACCTGGACTACACGTAATTTTCCAAGCACCCGTTTTTTTTTTTTAGCCTTGCAAGAAAGTCACACGTGCACGATTCATGCACAGAGCAAACCTGGTGCATGTGTGCACAGTACTGTACATGTGTTGTAGGGATTGCAATGAGAAACATTATACCAAGTATCATTCAAGCCTAAGAAAGGTGCCATTTTGTTTGTTCACAATGCTGACTTTGGGCCAATTCCAGGAAGTTATCGAGGAAAAAAACAGACTCGGCAGTTTCTATTATTGTACATGTAGATGTTTTCCACGGTGTGCATGTTGTAAAAAAAAAAAGATCCTTGTTCACATAACCACTTTTTTCCAAATTGAAACAATCAAAACAAAATCTTGCCCAATACATGTATTTATCATCTGTCTTTGACTCACCAGTCAACATAAACAAACCAAGAAATTTTGGGGGTGGGTGTCCCCAGAAAGAGTTTACACCTCCCCCTTTTTTTCCGGCGTCTAACATAACCGGCAAGCTTCAAATTCTGTCCCGTATTTACCGGCTTCAATTCACCTGGCCTAATAAATTGGCTTGATGTATTTTGCATGCACTCTGGTGAGCAGGCGCCCATCAATTAGTGACAGGTTGAGAAATCCTGTCTGTCTAAGGAAGGAAGAGGTACACAGATATTTCAAATGGCAAAAGGCCCTCTGTGTCAAGTTTGACTGCATGTGATGGTATTTTCCCACACTGTCGTACATGTACATGTAGGCAGTTACCCCATAAGATGTGTGCATCTCTGGCAGGCACTGTGCCATGTAGAAGGTGCCTCAGTTTTTCAATTACACAACCTCATGGAAGAAAAATACATGTACATGTAGAGTTGAATAAAACTCATCACTGTGTGCAGTGTGCTCGGTTATCCAAATTGATTAACTGAAGCATACAGTCCATATTAGTTTATTAGCACTTGGTGCACTGTGCAATGTGTTGATTTAATGGTGAATCCACAAAAAGCATTGAGTACCTGAATGGTTTGATTGGTACAGAGAATAACAGACTGGGTGGTTTCAGATGATACAGTGACTAATGGGTTAATATTTAGACCAAAACACACAAGCAGATAAGTTTTGCTAGTAGCACTTCCTGATTTAATGTTAGAGGATTTCTGGTCAGTAGATTCAATGCTGTACCTGTCTTAGTGTTTTAGTTTCTGTTGTGATATCACTGAAGGGGATTGATCAATGTGAAGTGATTATTGGTTATTGATGATGCAGTGTGAATTGATTATTGGTCATTGATGATGCAGTGTGAATTAATTATTGGTTATTGATGATGCAGTGTGAACTGATTATTGGTTATTGATGACGCATTTTGAATTAATTATTGGTTATTGATTATGCAGTGTGAACGATTATTGGTCATTGATGATGCAGTGTGAATTAATTATTGGTTATTGATGATGCAGGAGATGACTGTCTTAGGCTTTCCGAGTCTTTACCCGTCTTCGGACCGAGGTCAGTCAGGGGCATTTGACGTAGTGCTGTTGGTCAACTGCTGTTACGAGCTCATCCAAAGACACCAACAACATCTACATAAACAGGAAGAAATGGAGACAAAGTAAGTCTGGAAGGTGGGCGGAGCTTTTTTGGTGTAGGTTTAGGGTTGCTTTCTTGTTCTCCCCGAATTGTACGAAGCTGACAAAATTCATTGTACAGTTACATACATGTTGAGCAAAAATCAATTGAAAACTTAGGCCTTGTGTCATGGAGTTGCTAAACAGAAAATATAGCCAAGCCAAAATAAGTAAACTACCTGCTATGGAGAGAATACACATCCTTTGGCATTATGGCCGGGAAAATGTTCTTGCTTAGCAAGTATGTTATGTGTTAAGCAACCCTTATAAACTGCTGGCATCCATCTGAGAAATTGGCCCTGATTTATGGAAGTTTGGACCCCAATTCTAAGTGGGTGCCATCTTCTCGTAGACAAATGCGTTGCGATTCGGACCTGGAGCATCTGCAGTCCAGCCAAGGACGGCTCAAGGAACGACTGGAGCAGTTGGAGAGAGACAACGTTGCACTAACGGAGAAGGAGCGCCAGCATCTCAATCAGAACAAGTCCCTGGCCGCCAAACTCAAGAACGCCAGAGAAGAGGTGTGAATTCTCCCTAAAATGGGCAGTGGTTTGTATCATTTCACAGCCAAGGTGTTAGCGTTATTCCCTCATCCCATCCTTCTAGTCCAGTGGCAGTATTCCAGCTCCAGCCAGGCCAGTTCACAGAGTCAGGAAGTCTCAATGATCCAATGACAAATGTTAGCGAAAGTACGCATCCTCGTTAAAGCATCCGTGCTTATCCTATCCACAAAGTTGAAGTCCCATTTATACAATGTAGTTACAACCGTGATCCACAGCCTTTGTATCCATATTTATTTCTTCACGGCAGGCAAAGGAAAGTAAGCTTATTGTTTAACCGAGCCAGAGGTCTCGAGTGTAACTTCAAGTTGGTGACCTGTTGTGTTATTTCTTGGTTTCAGCTGAAGAAGCTAGAGAATATCGTCAAGCACCGCGACACGCAGTTCAAACACGACCTGAAGAAGAAGGAACGGGAGATTAACAAGATGAAGGAGAGGATTCACCAGCTGCTAACAGACAAAAACCAAGAGAGGAGGATAGGTAAGATGGGCGGGGAAAGAAGAGCAGTGAAAAAGGGGGTGTACCCACTTTGGATGAAATATTTGCTGTCCTGTGTTAACCTTAAAAGAGCCGGGAATGGGGGCAGACTCAGCATTTTTCTCCTGCATTTGTCGTAGTGCATTTTCTCAAGGAGTTTTTCTGGTAACATCATGCAATCATTTGGACACCTATTTTGTTAAAATCGGACATGCCGTTCTCGCACAACGTGCAATTTTCTGAGATGGGTGAGCCAAAAATCCTTACTCTTCCATTGCATGTACATGCTCTTTGCATGCAAACTGACGTGTTGGAGTTCACCAATATCAAATGACCGTAAGCTTTTTGTGATATTGCAGGTATGGACATACTGAACTCACTACAAAGGGCTGACGGCAAGAGAGCAACATGGAAAACAGGAAAAACGGGTACAAAGTACGTGGAAATACCAAAACTTCTCAACTTGAAGGGTTATTGTATACCTGGCCGAGTTTTTATCTTTATTGGAGCACCAAATTTATCACATAGACCAACTAGGCTGTTCATATTTTGTTCTTGAAACTGATGATCAATTTCAAATCGTCACTCGATTTCACTCTTGCCCTAAAAGGAAAAAAGTGTACACACAACCAATTTGAAACTTGCATTTCATGTTTCTGAAGACATGAGGAAGAGATGTATCGCCTGATCATCACCAACTACGAGGAGAGACAGAAGGAGATGATGCTGGAGAATCAGGTGTTGCGGGAGTCCTTGAGTAACATGCAGAAGGAGTTGGTGGACCTGCTCAACCGGCAGGGGGACAAGGGACTGGTGAGCCTTAGGGGTGGGGAGGGGAAAGGCAAGGGACTGGTGAGCCTTGGGGGTGGGGAGGGGAAAGGCAAGGGACTGATGAGCCTTGGGGGTGGGGAGGGGAAAGGCAAGGGACTGATGAGCCCCAGGGGTTGGGAAATTTGATGAGATTCTGATTTTCTCGTTGATTTTATCTTTAGTGATGTGACAACACGATTGCTATCTTACTCATTTTTGTCTGTGAGCTTTTGCAAAAAATTGCATAATGCAGCTGATTGGAGGGGACTCAAACCCACGGCCTGCTTAGTAGTGCAGATGGACTCGACTAGCAAACTTGCTGGGGGTCAAATGACCGATGCAAGTCAAATTGAATTCAGCTTGAAAGATGCATTGGATGATTGGGGGCGGGGAATAGAGAATTTCTGTTATTATGACATTTCTTGGATTAACAAGCAATACGGGTGATTCACAATGGTGCGCCTGCAAGAGTTTGCAATGCGTTGGCCAATCACAGTGCGTGAAATCTGTCAACCCGGAGCGCGTTTGGAAAGGGTCCACAGATTTCGCGCGTTGCGTTGAAGGCGCACTATTGTGAATTGCCCTATTCGTTATTGCTGTCATAAATGTGAAAGGTGTCAAAGGCATGTTCTATAAATGGAGGGCATTAGTTCAACATAACTGGTGAAGTGTCGAGAGTGTCTCATGAAGCAAGGATGAAAGGTTAATGCTGTGTCATTGTCATTGTCATCATCATTGGCCATTGTCATTTTCAGTTTTCCAGTTACTGATATTGGCGTCTTGCCTGCATCTATAAATAGACAGCTTTTTCATATGGCACATACAGCTTCTTGCAAATGTTCAAAAGTTTTTATCATTGTTCACTGTGAATGTGATTTGTCAATGTCATTGATAATCACAGCTGTCCAGTCTTGGTGACCACAGCGATGAGGAGGACACCACCTCCGTGGACGACTCCTCGGTGGACGAGCTGAGCCACGGCCACTTCCAGATGCCCTTTGAGATGGTGCGGGAAGGCATCGAGGCCAGCCTACGCGACAAGTGGCAGCGGCTACGGGAACGCATCCAGCGCATGGAGAAAGAGCAACAGCTGTCTGGAGGGGGCGGAGGCGGGGGCGAGAATAAGGAGAATGCGGGTGGCGATCCCAACGTGCCGGGCAGCGAGAATGGCCCATCCACCCGACGCCTGGAGGAAGAGATCGCCGGCTTGAAGGACAAGGTCAAGGTGTATCACGATATCATCCAGCAACAGGAGCAAGTACTTCAAGTAAGTCTGTGACCTCGTCGTCTCATGAAAACTGTTCGTTTGTAGTCCTGGAATGCCCTAAAAGAAGTACAGAATTTGGTTTTGGGATTCCCGTGGGAACTCTGTTAAAGGCTTACAAATTGTCTCAGGGCCAGAGATGAAACCAGAATTGGAGCCAGACAGTGGGATAAGGCCTAAAAGTAGCTGTGTGCATTGTCTCAGTCTGTGCAGGACAGCAGTATGGACGAAGGCCTAATGGCCTTGCTGAAGGACTCGCATTTCCTGGAAGAGAAGGAGAGTATGGCAGAGGAGAAGAGGCTTTTCTATCAGCAGAAGGCGGCGTTTGAGAAGGAACGGAGGAACTTCACGGACGCTGCCATCCGGCTAGGGCACGAAGTAAGAATTACGATGACCGGGGAAACGGGGGAGTCAAAATTTGAGAGGAAAAATCTAGATCAGGAAAAATTTCCATTCCGTGCTTGTAACCGTGTTTGGGATCTTTCTTCATCAGCGGAAGAAGTTTGAGGAAGAGCGAAGCAGTTTCCTGCAGCAGCAATTGATGCTGAGCCCTACTGCCAAGACCAACTCCACACCCCCTCTCAGACCTCCAAAGTCCATCCACACCTCCAGTAAGTCTTGAAACTGATATTTGGTTACTTGGGTTGATTTTTTCGTTTAACTGAGTCTTAGAGGAGGCCAATGTCTAGATGAACGGTGAAGAAATCTTGTAGATCAGTACACTGCCTACAGATCTTAACATCGGCAAAGTGGTTCAAGCTTTCTCGGGATTTGATGAGAAAGCCAGATCCTAGTTAGTATTAATGTAAGAGCTTATATCATTGGCTATTTGGCAGGTATTGCTTGAAAGTTGTCTTTCTATTGGCTGAGAATTTTCGTTTTGCCCAGTGCCACTAGTACATACCATCCAACCACTCTTTGGCTTTTTACTGGCCATTTGGAAATCTTCACTTTGTCTGTGGCTATGGTGTTGTATCTTACCCTGAAGAAGTTAATACTTAAACCACACGGGAAGACTTCAAACGTTGGCTTAGCTGTGTAACATTTGTTGTTCTTACAGTCGAAACGGGACCCAGATGGAGCTGGAGTCTCTGAAATAGACCTAAATTGGCAAATTTGAGTCAGTAAATGGCTTCATCTATTAGCCAGCTGACCCCTAGCAACAGTCTTGTTTTGTTCAGGTCCTAGTGGGTTTCCCTTGGAGCAGTCACCGTCAACGCCCCCCAACGAGAGGACACCAGTTGGACAACGAACCATCATCAACACACCAACAACAGTCGAGCTGTACCGTGCCCTGAAGCTCATCCCCGACAGAGAGGAATGTCTCAACTCGTAAGTTCACCATCCCCGAGTTCAGTCATGTGTCCCTCTGTCACTGTGAAACTGTTCAACTCATTTCAGATTTGGCTACATGAGGGTTCGCCGTGGCTTCTTTGTGTCTTCCTGTCATTGATGTGCTTCCTAGGCTAAGCACAGAAAATCCTTGCGGATCAAACATCATTGTCAGCTATAACATGATGCAATGCATCTGGGCTCTGGGTCTGCTGGGAGGTTCCATTGTATCTTCTGCAGGCAAACGGCTTTTGCACACAGCTGTTTGGAAAGCAACTTTGGAAGTTTTTCTGAACAATTTGGAAAACCGGAATTACTGTCCCTCTTTTTTGAAGTTAACCCATTTCCCCCTGATCTTCAGAACTTTGTTCAAATGTGTTCCAGATCTCGGGAAAGCCTACATGTACCAAGTTACTACTCAGACACTGACCGGTCGGGTGCCAGCACACCCCGCTCGGGGGCAGCCACTCCGCGATCTTTCTCCAGCCAGAGCAGCAGCCGACGGACGGCCGGTCAGACGGGCAGTGGCCTGGCAGGCAAAGGGTCATCCAGCAGTGGCAGGTCAGAGAGGTGCGAGGAGCAGGTCAGGGGTCAGAGCCAGCGCGGCACGCCTCACCACTCCCACCGGACCAAGAAAGGGGAGGGGCCGGGAAAGAGAAAGTGACCAGTGGGATGGTAGAGTGGTCCCTGCAAAGCAGCGTTGGCGTTTGACGTCAGACGTGAGTTTGTGTGTGTTTATTCATATCTTGGCCAGTTACAGACAGCCTTGTAAAATTCAAAAAAACCTAAGCTCCCGCTGAAGCTGAAAGCTGAGATGCCAGATGTGTTTGAATGGCTAGAATTCACCATCTCTGCATTTCTAATTGCAAAATTGGCCACAGGCCAGAGTATATTGCACCTGGATTGTTATAGAGTTGAGATACGCACTTATATGTTCAATTTAAAGTTAGTCTAATGCCAAAAGTAAGCAGTTGAGAAAGTGTGGGAGTTTTAAATATATCTGGGAGTGATGATGATAAAGGAGAGAGTGTAAATGTAACTAGAGCAGTAAGAGGCTGGAAAAGCTTTGGAGTGTAAATTTGTGAGAGAGAAAAATCGGGAGAAAATACCTAAAGTAACTGATTACAGTCTTGATGCATTATTGTGTGCGAATGTTGCTGCTAAGTAATGTCATATTTATTTGAGATGCAAGATCAGGAGTATTGCTCAGCAAAGGAGAGAAAGTGTGGTAGGTTTTGAGGTCTGTTGTTCCAGCTTCACATAGGAAGCTGTTGGGCATTCTTTCTTACTTAATATAACCTTTTCACAGGATTCATGGTGCACAAGTTTACAAATTGAGCTGAGCTGTGAGAAGTTGTGGTGCTGTTTTTTGAGACTATATTTAAACTCTGCATAACTCTCTCTACATGTAAACCAGTAATGTATTCGAGTCCATCACAAGTCCCGGTAAGTCCATCATAAGTCTTAAGTCATTTCACAAGCTATTTAAATGAGCTGTGACAAAAGCCTTCTCTTGTCATTATTCAACCTGTTACTTATGACTGGCCTCGTAATGGACTTGTGACTGGACTTGGACTCGAATACAACACTGATATAAACAAGCCACCACTCGTTGCTGTCTGGGCTGTAATGCCACACTGCAACAAAAGCAAACACTTACATAACGCCGCCTTCATGTCGCAAGAGCACTTTCATGCCACTGAAGCATGCCAGTCTAGCCTCGCTTTCAACTTGGTTGTTGAAAGGGAGCATGTACGTGGAAGAGATCTTGTAATGTTAAGTTTGTACTGGAAACTTTGAATCTCGGCTTTGACAATGTGTCATTGTGCGCATTGCCGTTACTAAAAGTCAACACAAGAAGTGCTCAATCAGATGAGTTTATTTAACAGGCATTGATACTCATGACCAGTCACTTTAAAGTGCACCCTATCATGTGTGCTAACCTTACATACCTGGTGTGGACTTGTGAGAAAAACACAATGCAGGAAGGGAAGACGTTCTGTGGACTTACCCAGGTCCACAGGACATTTCTCCTTCTCTGAAACTAGAAATTTAGAGGCATTTTGGGGTTAGGGTTATCATCATATAAGGAAGAGGAACGGTCGAAGAAACATTTTATAATAATCCGGCTGAAAATCGTACTCCGAGTGTAAGAAAAATGAATATTTTCAGCGGCTTTTTTAACTGCGCGAAAACAACATGAGTAAGTGTATGTGTGGAAACCTTTCTGTATTTTGTCTTTGCTAAGATGGAACGTTCATGAATTATATTTGTTTCAACTGCATCGAATCCTGAAGATGGTGTGTGGTTATAAGATATATAAAATCTGAATTATTTTTGTATTCTGTTCCATTCTTTGTGGGAAATCCGACACGCGTCTTCCAATTTGTTCTTTATGCAAACAGCCGACCAACGCAAACCAGAGAATTGCCTTGAATGCTCAACTGGGGTGTGTGTTTTTCACTTTTTCTTATTTGATAAAATGAACAGAAGAATTTGTCAGCATTGTCCACATTTCTTAGGAAGGCAGATTCAGTAGTTCATAGACGGTGCATCAGCAAATGGCAGTTTTTCCTTAGACTTAGTCCACAGCAATTCAACAAAATTAAGATATTTATTACTACACCAACATCAATAAACATATTGACAATCTTCCAACATAATGTGTCGCCATCTTGTACCCGGACTCACTTCTACCAAAGCACACATTACCTAACACATATTTCTTCAATGTACATGTTTAGTTTGTTGTTGCTGCAACTTAAAATATGTCATTATTTTTTTGATTGCTTTCGTTAAATGTTTATATCGGAATAGGATCGATGTAAATTTGTGGGCTTTGTTTTTTGCCTTCTGGGAATAAGTTTTTGTGTATATTTTGCTCGTTTAATAGTTTGTAGGCTGTGTGCTGGGCACCTGGTCTTTAATGTATGACTTGCTTCAGTGCGAAAACCCGTAGAATTGGAAAGTTTGTTGACCCTGTTGACACTAATGACCAAAAATTGTGCTTTTTGTTAAAAAAAAAGGATTAGATTCACCCATATGCCTTTAATAGCAGATTTTAAATGTTATTTAATCTTTAAAGCCAGACTTGATACATCCAAAAGTTGGCACTAATGATGCCTTCTTTTGAACACAAAAATTGTATTTCCAAATTGCCCTTGGTATTTGTGTTTACAATTTTATAATACCAGTTTGAAGAGGAAGATGAGCAGCATTAGAAGTATCTATGACACCGGCAATTGGCGGTCTAAACGGAACTATTGCAGTCAGACTAGTGTGCAGTTAATTCTAACTTGACAAGGATTTTCTTTCCTTCCACGTTTTCATTTTGAAACCTCACATCTATATCCAGCAAGAAATAAGACGGAGGGGTACCCCCCCAACATGTCCAATTGCTCCACACTCTGGACTGCTGTTACCTTAGTCATCCCCCCCCCCCGATGTCTGAAAAGAATTCCTCAGATGCCAGTGAAACAATGACCAACACAAAGCCGGGGGGGGTCCTCTCCGTCTCATATCTTGCTTCATATGCTCACATCTGTTAAGTATTTTAGGAAAAAAATGTGCATTTTAAACCACAGCAAGCAGCAGCCAAAATAAGAGTGATTGTTCTGGACTCATTTTTTGCTCGAAACATTTTCACGATTCGTGCTTGCGGGAAGTCGGCATTTTACTCAGGCCTTCCACAAACCATCAGGTTTCTTTGTAAACCCTGGGGGGGTTGGATTCCTGGATCTGGGAGTGCCAGAGGTGTGGCTTGTTGGTTTGAAAAACGCAGTGCAGCAATCGTATTTTCAGTTGCATTTCTGTATTTTGCAGCATTATAGCATTCATGGAGCGACGTCATGTTGCTGGTTTTAAATTAGCCGAGGGAAAAAAAATGGCATCCTCCTCGGATTCAAACAGTGCAATTCTAAATAGAAACAATGATGTACAATAGCAGAGTTGTATTTAATGTAGAGCGTAATTAACTGTCTGCTGGATTGGACTGGATAAAGATGGGGGTTAGAAAAGGGAAAGGGGATTTGGGATTTCCACGAACTCCATGTGGTCATTTGCAGAGCATTTACTGTGTTGTGGAACTTTACCCACGACATGCACAAGACAATCAAACTTTTGTATGAATGTGGGAAGTCTACCTATTTTATTTGGAGCAAGTATTTCAGCAGTTGACTTTGGAGGGATTGGTCCTGTGTTATTATAGTTTTGAGGGTCGGTGGCCCGCTTCAGCTCCTGTTAAAATGTGTTCTTACATCTTGTAAATATGTATAAGAAAAAATGGTGAGCCTCTTGAAATATTTAACTGAGCTTGCGAGAGGAAGATGTCGAAATGGAAAAAAAAATGCCATTAACAAGAAGTTTTATGTGCCACGGATTCCTGTTAGTCAGTCTGTACTTTCTTCTGAGAGAATGTAATTTCTTTTGCCAGTCTTGAGAGGAGACTAGTGTCCACGTATGTGGAAGCTACATTATCTTTACTCCCCCCTCTAGTTTTTTTTTATAGCCAGTCTTGAGAGGAGACTAGTTTTGACGTTTGTGGAAGTTTTCTTTACTCGCGTCGTGTCCTCCCCACGGACGTGTTAATAAAATCTGGACTCGCAATGCCATAATCAGCTTATATATTGAATCCACTCGCGGCCATTTTACCGAGCCGAATACATCAATCGTCAATAGAAGGGAGCCAACCTACGCTTTTGTACTCAGCTCGGTAAAATGGCCGCTGGTTGGCTTCTTTTTCATACAAAGGCGTTGCAAGTCCAGGTTTTTTTTATATGCGTCGGTGGTCCTCCCCTCTCTTTGGAAAAAAATCTTCCAGGGCCACGATTATCACAGCTACAAGTCGTGTTCCCCTTGCGTGCTGTGTACAATAAGGAGTAGACCGCTAAAAGCCACTTTAATTTTTTTTTCGTTCACTAAGCTTTCACAAGAAATGGGAGGGAGAGAAAGGGAATGAAATTTTCTCAAAACAATTCACACAGGCCTTCTTTTGCAATTTGTGTACATTTGAAATCTGGGGAACATCTCAACATGCATGCCAATCACTTCGGCACGCTTGTTCGTTAACAGCGCCACCACTCGACAGGGCTATTTTAAATGCCACGTTTAGATAAACTCTATGCATCTGCAGAAGACGCGCTGCTAGAACTATTTCAAATGGTTTGTGGGATTCTTTCCTTCAGAAAAGGGCATCCTCAGTCGCGTTTGTTTGCTCTTGTTTATAATTCTCTCATTAAAATGTTAAATGATTTATAAAATGTTTGTAAGCCTATTAGCTTTTTAGTTATGTTCGCAAATTTTGACTTGACACAATTTAAGCTGTTAAGAGCGGCTTGAAAAATAGGCTATTTGTACGCAGATTCAAAACATATTTTCGTCGCATGGATTCTAGTAATTAACTCGTTGGGTATTTCAAAATGGCGTCTGCGTATCAGGCCGCAGGTGGAACGTTGAAACTGAAGGGAATCGGTGAGATAGGCAGCAAAAAGTAAGTAAAAGGGGGAGTCAGCCATGTCTGGTATGATTCTGGATCACCTTTGCCGTTTGTTTATAGATTTTGGCTTGATTTCTTTACAAAACTCCACCGTCCAATTGCTAGCATGGGGGATAGGGAGGCTAAGTTTTTCGAATAGCCGGCTTAACGTTGGCCTAATTTTTTTCTGTTTCATTTTTGAAGTGATCTGAAAGAGAATGCTATAAGAAATATTTTGATATAAGTTTGGATTCCATAGGAGTCTGCGGACCCTATAGAGGGCCTGCGTGGAGCGCCCTAACAGAGGACATAATTTAGATTTAGGCCTATACCTTCATGACTGTTGTTCGAATTCGGTGGCCTGTTCTTGACACACATTTCTTGTTCTCGCGCTCAACAAAATTGAGCAGTTTGTGAACATGCGAGAACTAGCCGCCCGAACATGCCGAACTTAGCCGCCCGAACATGCCGAACTTAGCCATAGCCTAGGGTCTACTCAAGCCCATCACACAGGAACAAAGACCTGTCCTCTGTGAGGGCGCTCCACGCAGGCCGTTCATGGGTTTTTGAATGCAGCCCAGTTGTGTCAAAACAGGGTCTTGCAGGGTACATTTCCGTTTGAATAAATTCCACTTTCTCCGTCAAATCTTCCCTCCAAAAGCCATTGAATCTGAGGCATATCTCTTTAAATCTGATGACCCAAGGTTTTAATACCATGCAACTGACTGTTACTATAGTACTTCTTGAAAAAAGTGAAACTTTTGACGAAAACAATTCAAATGGAACGAGTTCCACATGCGGACAACACTTGATGCGTGTGTGCACAAACCTATGAGACTTGTCTGAAGAAACCTGTTTTCTAAGTAAATTCTTCTAAATTTTCTCAGCTAAATTTCACTTTTTATGACATGTTGTCACTTTCTGATGGTTGTTATAAAATATTAAGGGAAAAGTAGTGCTGTCCGTATATGGAACTCTTTCCTATCCAAACACATCATGCACTTTGTGTGCATAACGCAGTCCTTATTACCTTCAGTATTTTTCACGACGGTATTCCAGGAAGAAGAAAAAGAAGAATGCTTCCAAACAAATGAAAGAGCAGATTACAATGGCGGCAGAGGATGAAGGTAGCGAGGAGGGTAAGCCGAAGATAGACCGCAGAACACCTGCTGAGAAGGCCTTCGCCAAGATACAGGAGAAGAGGGTAGGCTACGTTGTTGAAATAACCTCAAGTCTGAGTCAAAGTTGTAAGAGTTAGCTCAGAAATTATAGAATTTGACAACTTCCAAACATGTCTGAGCCTTGGTGTTTATTCGTTGTGACTGATGTCTCAGTCTAACCAGACTTCATGAAATTTGACCTTGCCCAATTTTTTGTTTCAATTACAGCAAACGGAGCGGATTTTGGAGAAAGCCCAGAAGAAACATAAAGACAGGGTCAATGTAAGTATTGGTGGCAATCCTCCGTTCTTCAAGCCTGCAGAAGGAAGTTTTAAAACAAAGTTGAAGTTTATGTACAGTCTTTCCAAAGATGCTTTGCAGTGTTTCACGTCTACATGCCTTTTCTGGCATTTTTGAGCTGTAGGGGAAGAAATCAAAGATTTTTAGCACCATCGTAGCAGGTATTTTGAAGTCAAAATTTTAGAAGTGAATTGTTACATGTAATTCAAAATTGTTTCAAATACTGTAATTTCAATTTCTATTTAAATTTACTTTTTTTCTGTTTTAGGAATTCAACAGCAAATTGGACACCCTAACGGAACATTTTGACATTCCAAAAGTCAGCTGGACAAAGTGAGTTGCCGTGACCTGTGTTTGTCAGGTACAAACAGCGATTACCATGTTTTACAACAGATCCAAGACTATTTACCATCTCGGACTCAGAGCCACTTCCCCTATCTCCCATACAAAGTGGACGTTGTGTGTCTTCGAGTTTGCTCACAAGAGCTGCTTCCAGATTACTTCTTCAGGAGTTTGTATTTCAGAATTTTAGACTCTTGATCAGCAAGTTGCAAATATTGGTGAGTGGCAGATTGGAAACATAGATACATAATAGTTTTGTACTGGTGTTCACTAAATCGCGGAGTTCTCTCTTGGTCCAACTTCTATCAGACAGAAGGCACCATCTATTTATTGACCTCAGGTTATGAGTTATCATGTGACTTTGAATTGCCACCTGCTTCACTGAGAAAAAGCAAGAACTAATGATGGTCATATCCTCAATTTAAAATGGAAATCCCCCCCCCGTTGCCTTGATAACTAGGTCAAACTTGCCGACCAGACATACCCATCTGCAGTCACATTTGGCAGTTCTTCAGACATTGCCCATTTGTAACGCCCGAGTAAAAGAAAGCATGTTGATAAAGTCATTTTAAGTACAAAAAGTCACATTCAATTTTATTTCAGATATGTCGTGATTACTGTACAAAATTAACTCGACTAAAGTGTCTACATGTACCGTACTTCTTGAATAACTTCTCTGAGAATTTCATCTAAGAATCAAGTTGTTTTTATGCTTGAGTTTACAATATGGATTCATTTTTATCACCGTTTACTTGGTCTTCAGTTACATCAGCACTTTCAAGCTTTTTTGCACAAACCATTTAAAATCTACTTGAAAATGAGCCTTTTGCGAGTTAAATTTGAAAAAAAATGCCGTACACAGCATTCTTTAAATTCACATGAACATAATTTGAATTCTCCATAAAGACGCTTTTGCTATAACTCATGATTCGGGGCAACTTTTTGCTTAGTTACATGAGAGATGCACTTATACACTGTTTTAATGGATAACAAGGGCACAGAGGAACTAGTCCATTCCACAGATGGTGGTCACTATGCAAAAGCTTGCCCGGAATCACAAGGTATAGCAACAGTGTCTTTTAGTCTGGGGAATTCAAGTTGTTATGTTTAGGTGTACATGTAGTCAGATAACTCAAAGTACCAGATTTTATTCATATTTCACTTGCAAAAGGCTTATTGGTCAATCTTAAAACACATGGTGGGAAAAAGTACTTTCTGATAAGAAGTAATTATGGATAACAAATATTGAAATGTTGAAATCGAAATATAAATGTTATGAACGGCAATATCTTAGTACATCTGAACTGGCCATATGTTTCTACATTAAAGTCTTGTTTTGAGGAGAAAAAAGTTTGTTCTTTCAGTTAATTTATTACGAGATTTTTCCATGTTTCATTTTGAGATGTCTTTTAGGAAAAGGCTTTAATTCATTCAACTTGCTGGTCACATACATTAGTCTTCTGCAGCTTAGGAAAATCAAGCTTTTTGAATTCCTCATCTTGTCTTTTCCACACAAAATCTAGAGTCTGCAAGTCTTTTCATTTCACAACAATTTCACTGTGCATTCACATTAGTGACTTGTAACATTAAACTTTAAATCTGTAGCTATAATGATTGTAAACTATCACCTTGTTTTCACCTAATTGATTTCAATTGCAGCTAATGTGAAATGCCTTAAGGAGGCATCAGTTTGGAGTCCTTTTCACGAGTGTACAAAACATATGCTGGTCTAGGAGGGGGAGGTGTACAGCCTGTGTATGCTTTCATTAATTTGGAAACATGTCGATTGCCATCAATGTGCCTTGCATACACTTTTTGGAGAGGAAAGTGTAAGTTTTGTGTGCTCATTAGAGGGTGATAAAAACGGAAAACCCCCAAAGACAAAAACAATTTTGATGGTTTACTTATAAACTATAAAATATAAATTTTAGTATGAAATCTGTACTAGCTGTGAAGTGTGCATAGATTAAGAATGGAATGAATAGCTGTTTTGTAAAGTTACATTTTTAGATTTCTCAGAAATTGATAATTTATCTGGGTGGGTTTAGAATACTTGTCTGCCTTCTTGTAAAGCATCAAATTTTCGTTTTGGAATGAAATTTGCCGATTTAGACCCACAGAAACCAAGCTTACGTCAGTAGCTCAGGCCAGGGCCACCAAGGGCACCGTGTAGTCCACTCGAGCAAGGGTGCTTTCTGAACACAGAATGGCACATGGGTGTTGGTCATGGCGATCGCTCTGTGCACCCTGCACACAGTGCGCTTGAGATTAGGTCAGTGGTGCAGACTTGCATGTTCAACATGTTTGTACATAGTCGCTGGCAGAACTCTTTATAATTTATAATAATGAAGCCATATAAATCTTTGAGTGAATCAAATTTTCAAGTTGACTTGTTGCAGCAGAGCGAAGTACTTTGTCATCTCAGGATTGCATTGACATGAATTTTAGAAATTATTCATGTATATACAAAATCTTCAGCCTGTTCTACCTTTGGCAATACACATCTGGGGAGTTATTGGAATAATTAAGAATTTTCAGAAAATTAAGAACGTGAAAAAAAATCTTCAATTTCTTGGCCTTTTACAAACGCAACACTGGTCTGTGCATGTTACATTGAAACAGAGATACACTGATCCCCGGTTAAAACAAAACAGTGGTTCAGCTGTGCTGTTGTTAATCTGTTACAATACTTTGAAGACGTTAGACCGGGGAGGACGAGGGGGCTTAAGATTAGATGGGATCACCAGTTTTCATACATCATCAGTGACGCTAAATTTTTTTTCCAAGGAGAGTTCGCGTACATGTACGCGTAGCTTGTGGCTCCATACACAATTTTCAGACCTACGAACTCCAACGGTCATTCCCTTCGGTCTACATGGTTTGTAATATACTGTGAAGTTCATTGAATTTCATTGGGTCGGTGAATAGTAGCGATCTGGAGACAAACAGACGCTGTTGGTTCATATCAAAGCGCCACATGTTGATCACGTGACCTGGAAAGGAAGGCAAAAGAACAGTAAGGTGATTGTTGGGGTGAACACTGAAAGTGGCATGATTCCCCTTGTAGACTCCAAGCAGCAACAGGAGGTGGCACTTTAAGGCTTATATTCAAGAACCAGTGTGTGGCAGACTCCGTGTGGGTATGCCCTGATTTTTGTGCATGTGATGTAATTTTCAACTGAATGTGCACAGAACCCATATTATCACATGAGAATGTACCTTATGCATGTATACAGATAAAATACCCACACTGACTTAAAAATTTTTACGGGAAAAAAAAAATCAACACACACAAAAACAAAACAGGCTAAAATGGAAAACAAGAATTATGGACTTGCCGTGGTCCGAACGGACGTAGTTTCCCCGATGATCTCCGATGAAGTACATGCCCGACTCAAAGCTGACCTGCTCAATGTGTCTCATGTTGATCAGGACGTCATCAGTCAGGGGCCGGTACATGGTCTCCCCTTTGGGCTTGACCAGCTCCGATTGGAACACGTTGGCCGAGCCCTTGACGGGCAGGAAGTTGCGACCTGAGGGCGAAGAGAGGGCCACAAAGTCTTCATTCATGGGTTCCATGCCGGGCTCATACATATACATGGTGGGCACCGGTCAAGTCTACCACAGATACGACAAACGTAGTGCAGAAGTGCTATGTCATGTATGTGCCATAAACGGCTCCCCGACTTCAGCCTCGATGTGTAACTGTCATGGACAATTCACAATGTATGGCCAAAAATGAAAGTCATTTCCATTTGGCCTCAGGCAACCTGGTCTAAGCTTGAATGGGAAACTAGCAACTTCCTGTAGAAAGTGTACAAATAGTTGAAAAACACCAGCAGCGTACTACTGTGCATCCATTGACACTGGCGTACTCCAACCAACAAACAACTCATACACAAGTACATAAGCTTATCAGAGCATGGAGGCCTACCTCCATGATCAGAGTATAGTCTACAGTGGTCTGCCAATGTTTAACAAACACTGATAAAGTCCAGCCCACAGCACGCACACCCACACTAATTCCCATAGTAGCACACTACCTTACATGTAAGTTGATGGAGAAGTGCAAGTGGGCATTTGTTTGTATACAAAGTTTGGAACTGCCCCCCAAAAAATAAAATTGTCTTGCTTGTGTCAAATACTTCAACTTAATTCTCGTTGGCTCTTTTTTTTTTCACAAATGTTCTGTACAACAAACTGAAACAAATTTTAACCTGTAACACTCATGGACGACTAAACCACCTTCCTTCAAGGAATACCGGGTACCTGCACGTATTGCACTGTACTTATGAATTTGTTTGGTAAAGGAAGTGAGGCTATGAATTCCCTTTTACAGTAACCAATTTTTTTTTCCTTGATGGCATGTACATGTAGTTTGTTCAGTGTATGAAACCTAGTCATCTGGTAGATGTACATGTACACCTACAAAGTTCATGGTAGAGTTCCTGCTAGTGTAAACAAGCGCCTGGCATTGTTAAGCAGAGTTGAAAAGGCTTGACCTTTTGAAGGTCAGGTAGAACACATTGAAAACAAATGCAAATGATTTGGCCGTGGCTAAATATAACACAAGCCTATTGCAAGCTACAAGCTAATGGCTTCGTGCATTTCACATAGATTCCTGTGTTATTTCTCGCCGTAGGCAAGAAATCTGGACATGGCTAAAAGTGGAGCCTTGACTGCCTGGACAGCTTCTGAAATGCATCAGTAGATCTGTCAAATGAATTAGTCATACATGTACTTTGTTTCCGATGGCACTGAGGTGGGATGTGATTAACCAAGCCTCCGTACAAAAGCATGCACATGTGTTAAAGCAAGCATGATGTCATTATGTTTTAGGTTTATAGTCACAGAAGTTCATTAGGGATGCTTAGGATGGATATGTTGCCTCGATATTACGTGACCCAAGGACATACATGTACACCGAATTACTTATTCTAGATCAAGCACTGATCTAATCCCGGACATAATAAATGTAGACGAAATTTCAGCTACATGGTACCTCCATCCCCATCAGGTAAAAGTGTTTTGGCTAGGGCAGGATGACTTGATAACTTGGAGTCCAACTCAATACACATCCATTGTTCCTACATTATCTTGTACATGTCCCTTATGCTGGTCAGCTAATCAAATTAAAAGAAGCGTACATGGACATGTAGTTGGGACATGACAGAAGAAACAGGTTTGCCCACGATCTCACCCCGACTGATTATTTTTTCACCTGGGCGGATTACAATTTCACATATGAGGATCACTTTTATGTCCAGGCAGATGGCCTGGAGGGATAATACTGTTGTTTTTTCTATCATTTTGACAGTAATCTGACTAGGCAAACCCCCCCCCCCCGAAATATTAATCCACCTGAGTGAAAAATTAATTGGGTGAAAAATTAATTGGGTGAAAAATGGGCCAAATTTTGTTCAGTCATGTCTTTAATCAGCTTCAGTACAAATAGTGCTGAGCATCAACATTCAGCAGGATCATTGCCCCCCAACTTTAATGATTCATAATTTCTAGTGGATTAGCAAGACCGTTTATATCCTTTTGAAGCACATTTTGAAAGAAGTGTTGGGAGGGGGGGTTACGGAGAGACAAGTGCATTTTATGTCAGAGTGCCTGAGTTCTAATTTCTTCGAGTTTCAAAGCCGAAAATACCACTTAGCATATTTATGTGCTCAGTAAGTATCAGCTGAGAACCAGTGACATACATTTTATGACCTTTCGACTGGTAACCAGTTTTTGCTAAGCCAATTTTTCCTGAACTTAGCAGCAGTTCCGTGGCATTGGCTCAATGGGATGGGGGAGTAAGGGAGCTGGAAAGATGGAAGAGCTCACCTCTGAAATCTGAGGGCTCAAAGTGGTTGCATCTCTTGCACCTGGGCTCTTCCATCATCTCTGATTCCACCCTCTTCCTCTTCTGGCCAAAGCAGTAGCCACCGTTGAGGGCGCCAGCCAGTCGGTTGTGCTGGTGGCCATTAACATGTCCGTCGACTCCAATATTCATGCCGAATGACTGGGCCGTATGGAATGGATTTCCTGGGACTTGCATTGTTGCCTTTTAGGGCTTTGGTCTCGAGGTGTCAGCCAGAAGTTGAGGTGACAACAGATAGCACTTTACTGGTTAGGAGTTGTGACAAAGGGAGCTCACGGTCCAAGCGCTCACACTTACTGGCTTAGTTTATCCATTACTTCTTGTTTTCTGGAAAACAAAAAATGGAAAATCACTGATCGGTCGACAGTCATCGCTGAAACCACGTTGATGGCAATTTCTGGTTTACATTTAAATTAAAGTGACACTAAACACAGATAATGTCTACTCATGCCTACCACAGAGGAATGAAGGCATGTTTCCAATGTGACACTTGGGCCCAATTACATGGCTTTGATAACTGAGGAACTCTCCACTTATAATCTACATTCTCCACCTGTAGTATAGAGATAATGTAGAAATTCTGCCCTAGCTCTGTAAGCACACGATTCTTAATACATTGGCATCATGGGAGAGGGTATTTGCTCTCCACTCCCTGTGAAAAATAAAACAAAAAAGTGAAAAAAAGTGACACAAGTAAAAAAAAATATGAAAATCATCAGATTGCTTGAAAAAAACCTAATATTCGGCCCCCTACTATTAGTAGTACTAATCATTTTAGCAAATGAGTGCTTTGCCTCTCATCCCGGAAATCCCCCCTCTGAAAAAAAAGGTTTACCTCCCCCGACCAAAATCGTGACAATACCCAAGCCTTAATAGATTACATGTATGTTTGTCCTTATTTTGAACTTCCTTGCTAAACCTTGAATTTCATGCATCACAGGGTGAAGACATTACAACTTTTTCATGGCGTCTTAATTTTTCCCTTTTTTGCTCAAAAAGCTGAGCTTCTTGTAAGAGTTAAAGTTTTTTCCTCTTTTCAGATTTCTACGATTTTCTGAGATTTTGAAATTTAAAAACAATCTAAAAACTGTTTTGCAAGCACCAGTAAAATGCGGGAGAAAAATCCACAGCCAATCAAATATATGCTGCCTGAACAAAAAGGGGTGGGCAAAAACCGACAATGTCGGCCACAATAAATTAATCTGTACAATTGCTCCACTGACGTGACTGAGCCAGTACTATGCATCAGTCCAGAACTTCAGAAGGAAATCTTACACTTTGCTTCCTCTTTCATGCCTATTTAGAACAATCTTTCAATACCACGTCAAAATTACGAGTAAAAGAATCTTTTGGTAATATCAGGTGAATCTACATACTGTGCTGTGAAGTCAAACAATGGTAAAAACACAAGATCCATCAATCACGCAGATTGACTGATAATATTCAACATAATATTGCATGCACATAAATATAATTAGGCATACAGACAAGAACTGAATGTTTCCACTTCATATTTGCTTTTTTATGGGGGGAGGGGTGGTCATGTGGTTGGATGGCTCTGTAGAGGTGCTGGTCACCAGTTCCATCTTGCCATTCATTGGTTTTTTAGGCATATTCTTTTCTGCATCCAGCATTTGTTTACCGTTATGCCATGTTGACTGTTTTATGTACATGTTTTCAACTTCAATTTTAAAAAAAAATTTGTATAATGTATTTAATTTTTGGTTTGATAGTCAGTGCAAAAGTGTGATAAAATGAAATAAAAAAATGAATTCATACTGAGCATGCTGAATAATTGTAATTCTTAATCATGTTCTAAGCCTGTGCTTATTTCCCAATAATTTCTCTTTCCTTATCAAGTTGCAGGCTTACAATGTCACCAGCATGACCAGTGTATGTGGTTTAATAACGTGGCCGGCATTATGATTATATACATGCATAAAACAATAACAAACATTACGAGGCTACATGCAATTTGGTGGGGTCATAAAGTACACAATCCCCATACTCAGTCCGACATGGTCCAGCTCCATGGTCCGACATGATTGGGAAGCCCTCTGCATGGCCAGCCTACCGGCCGGTCATGATGACTGACGTAAAAGTGGCACAATCAACAAGCATGAACTAAACAAGCCATGCATGACCAGATGACTGGCTTTGCTTGGCATTTTGTCTATCAATGTCTATGCAGAAACTTATACTTACACTGACTGAACAGGACGTTAATATGCAAGTACAGTGTATAACATCTTACCTCGAAGGTGAGACATCCACGACCCCGTCATGAGCCCGTGGTGTGAGTCCGTACTACAACCATACAACTTTAAACGATAGTTTTCAAAAGCGAAGATGAAGTTTGAAACAGCATCTGATTATTTGATTATTTACCAAATGCGTATATGGGTCATGAGGTCGACGCTAGACCGGAAACTGCCTTCGCTCGCAGAGCATGATGGGACAGATCACACAGCCGACGACACATCATATCGAAACTCGGGATTGTGTCCGCACAATTTCTGGGCCTAAATCCTCACAACAGTTATTCTTATTTCCAAATGATAGGTTTGAACAGTTGAAAGGTGACACCAAAAGCCTGCCATCATGTCTCTTTCGGCAGTTTTCTTCCTTGATCTGAAGGGGAAGGTAAGCAACTTTCGGGAGGAGTGTCCAGCTGGGCCGGGGCCAGGCCGCACGCACCAGCTTCGCATAGCATTGTGCGCATTGATAACTGGACCAATTTCCGGACAAAGCATTAACAGGAGTTTCATAAGCCTTGTCGCTAATACTGCAAGAGTGATTTTGCGCAATAGTATAAGGGCATCATAATGATCATGGGAAGGAAAAAGGGGCAAACATTGCCCCCTTTTCCCTTCCCACAATGCCTTTCCACAGTTGTCAGGTTGTGCCAAATCAGCCATGCAGTACCAATACTAGTATTTAACATGTTTAAGGCTTGTTAACATGATTAATTTATAGTTATATGGACTCCACTTGACATCCTATGCACAAACCCTATGAGACTGGTCTTAAAAATTCTGAGTGTTTTCTCAGTTAACAACTTGGTATTTACCCTCCTAAAATTGAACTTTTCATGACATGTTTTTGCTTTCTGATGGCGAATGACTGCAGCCATTGTTTAGGGAATAATTACTGGCGTCCGTATAGGAAATCTTTCCATTAAACCTTGTAACACCGCAAAGAACTGATTAAGCTTCTTGTTTTTTTTCCCAAGGTGCTGATTTCCCGAAACTACCGTGGTGATGTGGACATGTCCTCCGTGGATAAGTTCATGACACTGATTTTGGACACGGAAGAGGAAGGTCAAGTGTCACCCATCATAACGCACGGGGCCGTTACCTTCATGTACATTAAGTACAACAACCTTTACTGTATCCTTGCCCAGAATTTAAAAATGGCCCCGCCAGACAGCTGATTCAATAAAGTCTGATTTAACAAAATAAGTCCGAGTGATCAGGGATTGTATATTTGGGGACCCTGTTCCTCTAGAACTTTGGAAGGGAGACCTATAGGACTGTGCCAAATATCCGAATATTTGATCGATTATCAAATATTCAAATTTTATTTTTCGAATTTGAATATTCAAATGCAAAATTCATGAAAAGGAAGGAAAAATTTTCCTTTTTTGAATGAGAAATATTGCATATGGAGGCTTGTTTCAAGCAGATTTAAATGAAAATTGACAGAAATCTTACAGTGATTCAAAAAGTAAATTATTCAACAATTAAACAATTTAAAAGGAATTTTCAACAGGGCAAGAAGTCTTGTTCATCTCTTCAATCTTGCTATATCGTGGCTGGAAATACTCCTAGATGTGAGAAGCTGTTACATTGATCATAATGTACAATTGTGTGCATTATTGCAAATGATTTTGTGTACGGTTTATTCATCAACACTTCGCCGGTCAGTACGTCCAAATATTCGATCAAATTTAAGGTAGAATATTCGAACAGTGAATTACTTGAATTGACTCAGCCCCAGAGACCTACATTTTAACTTTTGGATTCACCTTGGTAAATGACTATGACATCTGCAGGGTTGATGCTGTGAAAAGTGTTTTAACGCATAACTCACAGTGGAGTCAAATTTGCGTGGCTGGTTCATCAGTAAAAAGAAATAACATTTTCTCACAATTTACTATTCGAAATTTCCACAAAATAGGGTCAGTGCAATAAAGAGAGTGTTGCCTTTGGTTTTTTAGAGGACTTACCAGTTTTACAAGACAAAAAAGACAAAAAACTGGGGGGGTTCCCAAATATGCAGTCCCCTGGTGATCATTAATATCATTGATGAATGTTCAGTTTGACATCCCTTTCTTTAATTGAACGTTCATCTTTATTTTAAAAAAAAATGGCCTTTTTTATTTTTATAACTAATTTATCACAATGAACAAGAATCTTCCTATATTACTTTAACTTGGCTTAAACCTCTGCCATTGAATAATTTTTAAAATTCAGGCTGAAAAATAATTCAAGAAAAATGCATATGGGAACAAATGAAACGTAAAGACTAGTTATGCATGAACACTTTGGGGAGAAAGTGTGCTATTTTTCCTGGTCAGCAGGTTTGTAATTAATGGGAAGTGATTCGCTGCGTCTTTTGTTTTAAATTTGAAATTGCTTAACTCCAGAATCACAGTGGTGGCCTGTACCAAAAAGAATGCAAATGTTGCACTTGTCTTCACGATGCTTCACAAAATCGTTGAGGTATGTAAGAACCACATTTTTGTGTTGAACACTTAACTTGGTTGTGTTGAGCAGCATTTGAGTTAACGTGTGTTTGCAAATGTGAATTTAGTTAGTAGTTAGAAAAAGAGAGACAGTCATAGGTTTGCCATTTCAGCTTCAGCTTACGTTAAAATCATGTTATTCTGTGTCTTTTTTATTTTTCTCTGCAGGTTTTCATTGAATACTTCAAAGAATTAGAAGAGGAGAGTATTAGGGATAACTTTGTCTTGATCTACGAGCTTCTTGACGAGTTGATTGACTTTGGTTACCCACAGACGACCGACAGCAAGATATTACAAGAGTAAGTCACAAGCAGGGTTCAGTGACATCAAACGGTGCCCACATTTGGAAATCAAGTCCAACTAAAGTCAATCACCAGTCAGATTATATGTCGGTCACAGCTCAATCGAAGGTCAACCAAAAGTCAGTCACAGGTCAACCATTAGTCCGTCCTAAATAAGTCACAGGTCAAAGGTCAACCATCATTTAGTCACAGGTCAACCACTCGTCAGTCCAATGCTAGTTACAGGCCACCCAGTCTCAAGTCACAAGCTTAACAAATGAACTGTGACAAAGGTGTTCTTTCAATATTTATGACGGTTCATCCCTTTTGTAACCTCTACCCTGATTTGTGGTTTGACAGGATGATAACCCTTCCATTCAAATTCTTCAGTAATATAATATGCAAAGCGGAGATTACTTGTATTGGTTTTTGGTACCGGTCAATGTCTTCCCATGGTCAGCGGTCAGCTTACCTAGCTGTCCAAAAATGTTGATGCCAAATATTGGAAATCCTTTGTGATGCAAATGAGTGTTAACTGTAAGTGATGCATCCTTTGTTATACCTTGACTCTGTGGACAGGTATATCACCCAGGTGGGTCAAAAGCTAGAGATTGCTCCTAAACCCCCACCAGCCATCACCAACGCTGTGTCTTGGAGAAGTGAAGGAGTCCGCTACCGCAAGAACGAGGTCTTCCTTGACGTCATAGAATCCGTCAATCTGTTGGTAAGTTGAGGCAGTCAGTTATGTCCAGCTGACAAGTAGGAGTATTGGTCACCAGTGAAGACGTCTTGTCAGTGTGGATGGCTTGGCACTGGTACCCATCAGGAGACGATTTTTGGAGGGGCTAAGGACCAGAAGTGTTGCCAAGCTCAGAAAAATTTCTGCTCTGCAGTTTATGATGTTCTGTGACTGGTTCATAGCTGCTTTACAGTTTGCACACATTTGTTCTTTCAGATTCAGATAAATACAGTGCAATAATTTCTGCTTGACAGCTGTCAGGAGAGAACAACTTTTTTGTTTCAAAAGTCATCCTAACATGATTTGGTTTCCATAGCTATAGTTGAATTTGACGTTTTTGTTCTGTAGGGGTGAAACAGAAATGCACATTTTCTCTTCCTTTTCCCTGTCTTCGCAGGTGAATTCTAATGGCAACGTCCTGCGCAGTGAGATAGTTGGCGCCGTCAAGATGCGAGTGTTTCTGAGTGGAATGCCAGAGCTACGACTCGGCCTGAATGACAAAGTGCTGTTTGAGAACACAGGCAGTAAGTGGTTTCAAATTAGATTTTAATGGTAGGTACCATGATTTGAAGGACCTTAATGTTTACAGGGTGTGGCTGATCAGCTAGATGAATGCATCAGAATCCTGAACAGCTGAAATGAATATCATACCGAATGCAATGGAATGCAACACAGCTGTAATAAAAGCCATGATGAATGCAACAGAATCCTGAGCAGCTGAAATGAAGACCCTACCGAATGCAACGGAATGCAACACAGCTGTCATAAAAGCCATGACGAATGCAACAGAAAACATTTAGCAGAATTCAAGTGTAACCTGTGTAATCCTGTGAAGACATTTTCCCCCAAACTTCAAGAAAACACAGCGTTTGTTATTCTTTTTAGTATCATGTCAGTGTTTGTCAGAATACCTACCTAAATCATGATTTCTGCTTATCTTTCTCCCTGTGAACTTCAGGAGGAGGTAAGAGTAAATCGGTGGAGCTGGAAGACGTCAAGTTTCATCAGTGTGTGCGGCTGTCTCGCTTTGAGAACGACCGGACAATCTCCTTCATCCCCCCAGACGGAGAGTTTGAGCTCATGTCGTACCGCCTCAACACTCATGTGAGAAGTCGACTCAGTCTCGTTTTGGTTCTTCTTTAGTTTAATCCCATCTAGTAATGAAACCAAGGGTGCCTAAGAAATATCGCAAAGTTGCTTGGAAGCCCAAGGATTCACTAGAGAAGTTGGTAATGAAGGTTCATTAGAACCCCACGCCCTGTCCAGTGTTTCTGTCTTAGAATATTTCTCAGAGGAGAAAGATGTGATGGAATCAACACTCAGAGGCTAAATTGTGATCAGGAAATAGATGGAGGTCAGCTCAAATTGGTGCATTTGAGTTTCCTGACTGTGATAGTTCAGTTTGTAAAGTGGATGCTGTACAGAATGTTAGTCTATGCTTGGGGGGGGGGAATACATGTATACCAAGGCACTTCAAAGGGAACCGGTTCTCCAAGATTGAAGACCATAGCTGGTCACAAGTGAAATTGGACATTTCCCTGCTCGCAGGTCAAGCCCCTGATCTGGATTGAGTCGGTCATCGAGCGGCATTCCCACTCGCGAGTGGAGTACATGATTAAGGCTAAGAGCCAGTTCAAGCGTCGGTCCACGGCCAACAATGTGGACATCATCATCCCAGTGCCCAACGATGCCGACTCGCCCAAATTCAAGACCACCGTCGGCTATTCCCGGTACCTGCCGGAGAGCAGCGCAGTGGTCTGGCACATCAAATCGTTTCCGGTAAGTCAAAGGAAAATACCCTCAAAAGAAATTCAACAAACCCCAGTGTGGCGATTAGATTTACTTGTCTAAAACCAAGCTGTGTTGGATGCTCATAATTAAAAAATGATCAGAAAAATGAATTCTGTGACTATATTCTCAAGATAAAGAAATGATGCTTTCACTTGCCTCCTGTGCTGCCAGAACTTTTGGACATCTGATCTTAAAATTTTGTGTCTTTGTTGCGGCACCTTCAGTTCTTTGTTTTCTCCCTTCTGGATAGGGTGGCAAGGAATTCCTGATGAGGGCGCACTTCAACCTTCCCAGCGTGGAGGCGGAGGAAGCTGAAGGGCGGCCACCAATCAGCGTCAAGTTTGAGATTCCCTACTTCACTACTTCAGGTATCCAGGTAAGTAGCACATAGCCAAATAAGTGGAACTGGAGTTTTTGTCTTTTTTTTTCAATTTTGGGTACAGTGGCACCCAATGGCCCTTCAACATCACTGCTATTTTTATTTTCCATCAAGGAAGTACTTATGGAGTTGAAAGTAATACAATAAATACTGCATTTCAGGAATTAGTTATCCTCTTTCCTTCGGGGTACGCAGGTTCGGTACTTGAAGATCATCGAGAAGAGTGGATACCAGGCGTTGCCATGGGTACGGTACATCACACAAAACGGTGACTACCAGGTCAGAGTATAGTGGCACCAGTGAAAAAAAAGGAAAATCTCCCGTAACTGTACTACTAGATTTTGGTTTGGAGAAATATGTAAACTGTGATGTATATACCAACTGTCTCAACTTATCATTTACCTAATTACACTCTGTACATCCTAATCATAATTTAAATTGACGGCAATAGACATGCAGTAAGAGCAACTTTTAGCTTGCATCTTATTTTTAGAGCATTCCAATTAGTTTTGTTTATTTAACACCCCAAATATAGTAGACTGTGTAGTATGAGCCACGTGCACAATGTTAAAGAAAGAACACCACCATTACACATTCATGCCAGGTGTAAAAAACATTTTTCACCCATCATCCAGAATATTTATCACCCGGTCAACCTGAATATCAAACCATGCTTGCACAATTCTCTGAACGGGAAATTTGAAATTGGATTGGTATGGGGTTGTTTAACAAAAGTCTTGAGAACGAAACAAACCCCTCCTGCTCATGTATTTTGCTAGGAACCTTCCTACGTCCACGCAAGTTCACCATGTAGCACAAGTTTGGGGAGTCGAGCTTTAAAGTTCTACAGTTTTGCAGCAATCAACATATTAAAAACCAGATGCTAAATTTGGTTCAGGGAAAGTTGTGGCTTGTTGAGAATTCAACGGAATTTACAGGAGATAAAACCAGTGACTTGTTTCTGTCTAAACTGAGTTATAAAAACAAGGTTGTGTGCGACGACGTGAGCGCATTTGATGGGGCTGCATGTGTCAACATCAGACGGGAAGTCGTTTATTTTCTCATTTCCGTTGAAGCTCACGTCTGTCTGCCAAACGATATTCCTGGGAAAAGATGCAACACGGCACATAAAGGGGGCATTTATGCTGCAAGGAATGAAGTAAAATGAGGCACAGAAATCAAGAATCAAGATGAGCAATTTTAATTGATGAAATAATGTACACGTATTGGCCTTTGTTAATAGACTATACTCTTATTATAAGCAGGTGCTCCTTTAAATACATGTATCAGGCAGAAATCTTTACATTTTCACCTCACAAACTATTTGGAGCACCTGATCAGATGCACAGGCGTTAAATTGTTGCAGAAAGTTAATTTGTATTCAGCATTTTTTGTTGCATGTTACATGTTTGTGGAAACTCTACTGGCCTTGCAGTATGCACATGTATTTTCTTTGACCAAATTAAGACATCTCAGAATATGGGATGTAATTTTTATTTAAGCCAAAATCTGATGCCATGTTCCTTTGGTAAGAAATCAGTTGATACAGCACAAGGTGACCTCTGTGTTGGGGTTACTTTTTCTGTCTGAGCTTGTTGAATCCATCGTTTTTGAATCTATTATTCCTGTATCATCTAATGTGAGAAATGACCTTCAGCAACTTCCTGGGAGGATTATTACCATTGTAAACTTTCCACCAAAGTAAAGGTATTAGATACAAAATGGTTCAATAAAATCGACAGGATAATATTACAACCTCTGTCATTCACTTTTTTTAGCTGAAAAGAAACAGCAAAAGAAGACACATGCATCTGAAATCTCCCCAAATGCTTCCATTTTACATGTGTTCTGCCTTTACTTCTAGCGAATGCAATGATCTAAAAGAAAACCTTCAAAAACCTAAGAAAAGAGTTTCTTCACCTTGAACAGATGAACTAAACCTTGGTTGATGGAAACCAATGTTACATCTATTTACAACCTCAAAAAGTATAGAAATGATCAGCTTCTGTTTCCATGGTGTAGGTTTCTATGTCTGAAGAACATTTCTGTAGATACTCTCACTAATTTAAGTACATTTCTCGACCTTAAACAATTTCACCATGAAAGAAAGAAAAGAAAACCTTTAAAAACTGGAGCACTTCAGCATCTTAAATTATCTTGGTTACAAAATTGAAAGTCTATATTTTTGTGATGCAAATTGCATCTTCAATGTACACTCTTTTTTCACTTAAGTTTTCGCAACATATCCATGGCCACTTGCTGATTTTACACCAAAATGTAATAGCCACAATAAACCTCACTTCAAAATTACTCTTACGAGATACAAGGTTCTAAAATTCAGTTTCTACGAAAAATTTAGTGTTGACATATTTCAACAAATTGTGCCTGGGACTGTCTGCTCTTTGTAGAAAAGCCAAAAGATAAACAAACATGGCTCAGGGTTACAACTTAGTTGTTCTGGAGTTCTTTGGGTAAACAAAGTTAATCATCTGGAAAGAGCCAATCTAGAACAAAAACCTAAATTCATGGACAGCTTCTTAACTAAATCATGCGTAAAATCCCACCTTGACGTCCAAAGTGACAAAATGAATACACGACTCCTGACAGCTTGTACCTGGAATGGTTACACTTTGCTCAGGGAAAAAATTCAAGAGATAACACACTATCTCCAACTTGGCGTTTTAAGTTTGTGAAACCTGCCGTGGGAGAAGATCCCTTTGCTCTGGGGTCTGAGTTTCACTTTGTGCGACCAATATTGCTGCATGCTGAGTATGCAATACAGCATTGGAGGTATCAACTGGCTTTCTGCAAACTGACCCATGCAGCAGAGTTTAAAAAAATCTGGACAGACGTACATACATGGCAGCGACAGAATGTGGAGTTTGTGGTCCAGCAAGCATCTACAGCAGCAACCCTAGCCTTCACCCCTTCTCCTGCCCCCATGGTCTCCTTCTCGTATGCTACCCGTTGGCCGATTCACAAGCGTCAATCCAGTCGCTGTATACATCCACAGGTTCTGTCAAGTCTGACGTTGGAAACGGTCAAGGATCGTCACTGACAGAACCACACACATACACAAATACAACAGGAGAATGGAAGGCACAATTCTCCTACCAAGAATACTATCAATTTAATTGTAAGGGAGTTATGGAACAGGGACCTGTTTTAGGACTATTGACATTTTGTTGACATTTTTGGCACTCTCTATAAGAATGTGCTTGCTCTTTGCATAAAAACAATCATTGCAATATCTACTGAAAGTCAATACAAGAACCGAATTAAAATTTACCAAGATGAATCTCAAACACCGCTTTTAAAAATGCTAACTGCAAGCTAGGATGTTAGAAAAGAACCATGAAGTTCATTTTTTTCATGCACTAAATGGAACACAAAAAATGCGAAGACTTTTTCCCCATGAAGTAGACTACAATCTAACAATACACTCTACAATGTGTCTCCACTTTAAAGAAAGGATACAGTTAATGCCAGTCTGGAAATCTTCCAAGCACACTCTGCAAGATATGACGCCAATCTGCCTGGTCCGATCCCTGAGATATTGTAAAAACCAACAAGTGTGGAACGAAAATGATAACATTTTCTGGTCACATGGTAGTTTTTCAACCTCTTCTGGAAACCACTTTAGCGAGACAGAGACCAAAAAAGCAGAAAAGCATTCGAAACAAAATACTGCTAATTTTATAACCCTTAGTAACTCTTTAGCAAACAAAATTCCAAATAAGGCAAACATAATGTCTTCGAGAATTAACAAGCAAAGTTTGAGTCTCAATTCAAAATTTAAAATAGACTTGTCATTGACAGAGAGAGAAGACAGGTGATTTCAATGTGAAGCCTATGACAAGAATGGTGCAAGCCCAAATTTTTGAAAAAAAGATGCACCATTCAGTAGTTTAGCACTGCCGCAACGATGCCACTAAAGTGTGTGGTAGTGCTAGAGTCCCCAAGTCTTTAGATTGCTTACATCTTGACTTCACAGGCTTTTTCATGATTGCAGAAGGGGCACGTAAACTGCGTGTCAAGGGTTCCCACCAGCTTCTTCTTGGGTGGGGGCTTTCGCTTGGAACGACGGCGACCCATGCTTTTTGATTAAAACTTCTTGACCACACCAAAATACTCTGAACACAGGAAAAAAAAACATTAGTAAATCAGTCCATGACACTGTCAGATGCATAAGTTTGCTAAGCTTGTCAAGGCTTCATTAACTCTTAAGTTCTTCCGCCTACGCTAAGCTTACACTTAAAAAAAGTCATACAGCCAACATGAGGCGATCAGGAATCAGTTGTCGGCATGCATGTGTGGACACGGCATGCTTTTTGTGAATGGTCCGCTGGGCCGGCGCGCTGTGACATCGTCGCCAGGATATTAACATACAGTTTAAATCACTATTTGAACATGATTTGAACAAGATGGCGACATAGCGCTCGACAACAAGACTACTTCCGATTTGAAGGAGAAATTTCTCTTTTCTTCCCAAATGTGAGTAAACCTTACCATTCATTATTGGAATCTCTTAATTCTCACTCAGTCTGTAGCCAGGTGCAGTTTAAAGATCGTTTTAATTTTGGAGGTGAATTCAGAGGATTTTGATTCACGGTAGGCCTATGAGCTATTTTGAGTGAAATGAATTAATGGAAGCAAAAGCCCGTGGAAGGTACTGGGACCCCACTATCGCCCAACCACGTCCAAATATTTAAAAAGGCTATTTGTAAATTGTAGGGTCCAAGTTACTCAGACTAGCCTAAAACTAAAAGCTAAGCCATGTACTATGATGTAGGCGCCGGCATATGGAACTCTCTCCAAAATCTGCATAGCCTAGGCCTATGACCTGGATCTCTTTCAACAAAGAATATCTCGGTTCTAAGCAAAGAATAAACTTCCACTTTTTAAGGCAAACTGGTTACACAAAACCAAAACAAATCGGAAAAAGTAATGTTGCTCAACAGCGCAGAGCTTCGTCCCACTACTTCATGCCAGAACACAATCGCCCCCAACGCTTTACGAAATTTTTGGAGCGAAGTACCGTCAGTAAACTAGTAATGGTTTGTCTCAGTTACGGAACACTGCCAGACTGCATTGCAAAACAACCAAGCAAGAACAACTTGAAGCCCGAAAATAATTCCATTTTTTGTCTACTCACGAACAAAGCTACCGGCAATTGATTACTGCATTTAAATAGTGCCTCCTTCAGGCAAAACAATTAATTTGGGGGAAAATCTTACCTGTTTGCCGCTTCTTACTAAGCAGTGCACCACGGCTGATTCCAGATGTCACTATACTATGCCAAAGAGCTAAATAAATTGGATTTCACCAAAAGTCGTCGAGTCAAGCAAACATGTGCCATCGCCGCCACGAGCTTACTCTCAGATCAACTAGAGCATGATCACTCGTTGGCGTATCGTACAGGTACAGATGAATTTAATATTTGGGGGCGAGGTTGTTCATTCAATAACGCATGGGTGGAGCTTAAGACTCTTTGGAGGGGGCATCGTCACAAGAACGTTTTGGATAAATTCGCGCCTTTGTCCTCAAGCAACAAGTGATTTAATCAAAGCGACTTGTATGTAGTTATGGAATTGTTTTGGGCATAGTCAAAACGTTTTGAATTAAACATTATGATTTGAAGATATTTTAAAGTATATGAATTTCTACTTTTTCAAGATTTAATTGGGCCAAAAAATAAAACAAGAAAAGCGTAATATGTGATCAATTATAACACCTTCATTTTGTCTTAACGCCCTTCCTCAATGAATAAGCCCAACCCACACAACCCGTTTCAAAATACCATGCTTTTCATGGGGGAATGATGGCAAGAGGAGATTGTGGAGGGGTGAAATGTGGAAGGGAAGAGGGCAGTTGCATAGCCAGGTTTGGGGTAGGGGAAAATGGAGAGTTTTTTCTGAAAACGAGGGTCCAAATTGTAGCCATCCGTGAAAGAATCCGCAATGCCCCTCCCATTTCAATAGTGTTACTGATTTCCTTAAAATGGTACCATGCTCTCCCTTCTTGCCGGGTACATCACTGCCATGGGGTAGGGAGGGGATGTGAACTTACTTTCTAGCCTTCTAGGATGAACACAAAAACCAACCCCATACCTCCAGAATTTATATGTAATTTCCAATGCCCATTGTAAGCCAACCAATTCCAACCAATGGCCTCCCGATTTTCCAATTCTCAAACCAGGTACGTACTTGTGTACTGACCAGTTTGGAACTTTACTTACCATTAAAGTTTCACGTCTATTGAATGTGCATTTTAAGTTAATGGGGCCAGATTTGCTTTACGATGTTTTCACAAGTTTACTCTGACCAGCGACCACATTATATCTGACACAATTGAATGCACAGATATAGTGCAACGAGCATAGTTTACTTAACATTGTCAATGTAATCAAATAAAGTACATGTATAAACACATGGAATCATTTATTAAGCTTGCAGAAATTGAATAGACCGTATTTGTGAAGTACCCAATTTCAGTCGTATTCCTGAACGTATTGTATACATTTGGAACCTTTAATGGGATGGTACCAGATGATTTGGGGGGTCGAAATGAAATCGTAGCATAGAGTCTGGTTCTTTAAATTTAACACGTTCAAGTGAATACACCACATTTGGGAATCTAACTGAAATTGGGTCCCCTGTGAATGTCTATTGCTCTGCTCTTCACAGAACTTTCCCGAACTTTTATGGAGGTTAAAATTAGATGTACCAACAATAAATGCTATCTCCTCAACACACATTCCTGGCTTAAGTTTCAGATTTTGCTCTTAGCAAAATGTAGGGTCAGAGAACAGAAACAGTGTCATTCTTTTGACCTCTGACCTAGGATCACCTCAGTTGCAATATAAACCATCAAATTCAGACGCTTTGAGGTTGTGATCTGTCTCCGTATACATGTATGAGGACAGGTCTCCAGTCTGATCCTTTGCATCTGTCATTACTGTATCCATATGACTTTGTGTAGAGCAAATGACTGGAGTTGTAACTCAACCAGTGGTCGCATCCCTGACATTATGATCTAACAACAGCATTGTAGACACTGCTCGGCATCTGACTTTAATTATTTCTAAAAATAACTTGACCTTGACCTTGGGTGGCTCTCACAGGTGACACATGGGCACGACTTGAGACATGGAATATCGGTTGTGTATCAAAACAAAAACTGAGCTTCCCCTGGCAAATAACAGAATTTTGTGTCAAAGACAATTTCAATTTATAACTAGGATTTTACATTTCCTCCCTTTTGTGTTGACTGTTTGAAATGTTTTCTACATTTAAGAAGTGACTTCAGCACCTTGCGAGGCAAATATGTGCACCTGATAAATTTTCATAATTGTAACTATTTTCGCCAACAAGTTCATTGCAATCTGAGAGCTGGTATTAAATTTATCTTCAATAGTTCTAGTTCATAAGGGAAGGACTTCAAGATTTTGGCGGCAATGCTCTCAAAATGTGCAAGTGATACAGTGTACATCTTCATGAGTAGAGATAACGAGTTGTATTGAGTTTACAGTAGACATGCATGAATGTGCAATAAAACAAAATCTAACCCTCTGAGATCCTTCAAAATCCATTAGGCAGTTTTGGAGGATTTTGTAGGATTGAGGAAGGTAGAGCCCAGCCACTGTTACTTTGCATGGCATTGGATGCCCCTTGAAAGTCAAAGTACAAAGATAAAGTAATTGGTAACCTGCATGGGGCAGGATTTTGGAGAATTGAGGAGGGTACCAACAAAAATGCTGGAGGACTTGGTAATAAGAAGATGCCGGCCAACAAGTCTTGAGTCAAATTTAGATCAACAAAATTCGCAACACTGCCACTAAAAGGCAGATCACTTAAAAGTGATTCTCTACATGAAATGAGTCTGACTGCTTTGTCAAGTACAGGCCGAAGTTACATTTGCATGGTCCACAATAAAAATTGCATTGGCAATGACTTCAAAAGTTTCATTTTGCTTGTAGCAAAATGGGAAAACAGTGGGGTTTTGGGGTTAGAGACACAACTTATAAAAACCTAAACGTACTAACACCTCCAAAGGAGACAATTGATGAATTTGACCTTAAGGGTTCCATTCATAGTAACATCTGAACTACTTTTTGTGCACAATCTCCAACTTTGGCAGGGTCCTTCACAGCACAATGTTTCCTGATAGTTGGAAGAATGTCCAACGACTTGGCAATGGCCAGCGCATTATCGTCCACGCTCATGAGAGTTCCTATGGCAACCAGAAGCCGGAAGAGTGCCTCTGGGTCACTTTCGGAGTCCAGGATGGTGGAAGCAGCCGACAGGCAGTGAGACCGGGCCTCGATGTCGCCGCCACCCTGCAGGGCCACCGCAAAGTTCAGCAGCACCGTCGTGGCGGCAACGTGCAGGTTTTTATTGGCCAACCCCTGGCACTGCAGGGCTGCGCTGACGACTGCCTCGCGGTTGGCGGCCAGCAGCTGGGTGCCGTGCGGATGGCTGAAGGCGTTGCTGAACGTCCTCATGACCAGCATGCGGTTGGCCGGGGTTGAGGTCTCCGATGCTAGCTGCAGGATGTGGGAAATGAACTGGGGACCGTCTGTCTGATTGCAGAAGTGCTGATTAACTGAGGGGTGTCTGATTACCAACCGAAGGATGTCAATAGCAGGGAAAACCTTGTCTGTAGAAATACAAGACCAAAAATGTTGTTACAAGTACGTGACTGGTCAAAGCTGAAGATCATGTCGCCACAGATCAACTCAAAGTCATCATTATTTGCTCACCAACTTGGATGACCTAAAATACATAAGTTTTACAGCTGAAAGTGCAGAAATTTTATGATGGGCCTTTCAGAATAATTCCTTCTGAAAACACCCACCAAATTTACAAATTTACTGAAATCAAAGAAATAGATTTGAAGTGGTTCAGCAAGCACCCAGCACTATTAATTGTTTTTTGCTTTCCTCGTCTCAAGTCTGAAATATTCTTACCAACTGGCAAATGGAGTGCTCTCCACAGGGCACTGAGTTGGTCGGCCGTAGGACTACCAGAATTACCCACATTCAGTAGAAGTTGTTCCAGATGACCGAGGGATGCATCATCCAACTGACACGACTCATCCAATGCCGTGTTGAAATCCTTCAGTTTTCCTGTGATTAAATAAGAATATAAAAATTTAGCATTACATCAGGACCCTATGCACTGTGCTCTTAGACATTTTGCAGTCAAATACATGAGAATACCATTGGGATGTTGTGACTTAATACTAGACATCCAGCAGCCTATATAAAACATTTGACATTTACCTAATATGGCCTGTGCATTGGCAGTGTCAAAGGTCACAAAGCTTGTCTTTGGAAAGTAAGGGTTGGGCTGTTTTGCTTGAGGTGCCGCAGAAGGAATTTGGCTCGGTTGACTCGAGGTACCATAGGTTGGGATATAACGTCCAGCACCTAAAAATGACAAATAGAGAATGTGGAAATACTTTTCAAGGGGAGTTTTTGTAAAATTTAAACAAATACTGATAATAAGCTCTGGTGCCAAGACTGCAACAGTTATTTAGGAAGGGCTGTTCACACACCTGTGAACGGATCTGACCCTGTCCTTGGAGATGTAGGGTCACCGCCTGCTCTTGGGATGCCAGGAGGAGGCTGGGAACCAGGGATGTAGCGGGAACCACCTTCAGAGTGGGAAACAGAGATGATGATAAAATATGCAAGCCTGATCCCCAACTTGACTTTGGCATTCGAACATAACATTTTATCATTCAAGCTGTCAATGATTTTAGGCTTTCCAAAAACTTTGGGGGACTGAAACTTCCAAACCGTTAAAATGAATGCACGTTAACCATGTTATCTGCCTTCTAGCAACCCACCACAACTTTGACCCAAAAGTACACGTATGCCTAACCAGACTCTAATGAAATGCATGCAGGTCAGTGATGGTTGGACTAGCCTAGTTCACCACTGAGGACTGGTCTACCAAGGTTGGTTCCATCACTGGTTACCATAACATGGGCACATCGCATTGTAAAGCAGGGGACCGGGACTGTCATGCTTGATTGTAATAATTTACAACTTGCTTACTAGTTCACAAAACTGCTCTTACCTGTGAAGGGGTCACCGGCAGAGGGTGGGGCGGCTACGCCCAGAGTCACACCCTTGGTGTTTTTGATGATGAAGTTGGCAATCTCCTCCAGGAACTGTTGGCTCAGGTCGTGGGTGTGGATGAAGCGCTGAGCGGTCAGCCAGGGGTCCTCTGTGATGTTGTAGGGGAGCTTCAAGGCTGGTTTGCCCTCCTCCAAGTCCACATTGAAAACGTAGTCGTATTCCTGGAAGCCGGCAGAGGAAGGTACAAGAATGCATTGGAAAATCATTTAAACACTATCAAATAACATTATCTTCTACCTGTTTTTAAGGATGGCTCGTTCCTAACTTGAGTCTCAGTCTATTCATATTTTCTGGTTGGCACACTATCAGGAACTAAACGCACAGACCGTATCAAACTTTGGACAAGCAAGATCTTCTAAGTAATTTTTTTTGGGGGGGGGGGCAGTAGGAGAGAAGGTAACCCCACCTCTTGTGTCATTATGGACATCACATAGGAATGCGGTTCACAGCAGTATAGTGAGGGCACTTTCCAAAATGTTTCCGACTTTTCCACAGAATGAGCACAAAACCTCAGCAAAACTGCTCGTGCAGGAACACCACATCAAACTGCACTGTACATTTTCTGAATCAAATCTTGCGAGATCTGATTCTCACCTTGCCTTCGTACATGACCTTGCTGCTACTGGGTTGGGTGTCGTCACCTTCTGTGCCCACCACATCACCGATCTTGTTCCAGTTGGCATCCGCTACACTCCACGAGTACGCCTCCACGGTGTCGCCTACGCGTATGAGTTTTGTTTGGCCATCCTTTGTGCCTGTTAAGAACATACAGACATATCACTACATCAATAACAATGGTGCTGTTTGTATAGGTTATCATATCAGATGGGACAGCCATACTTTACACATCCACTTTTGTATAAGATTCACAAGCATTCTATAGACATGAAAGCCTTTATTTTCAGAAAAATTCAGAGTTATGAGTAGTTCGAAGACTCGGCCTATCCTAGAATCCTTCTTTTTCTTCTATTTAACTTAAAAGTTACAAGCTCCCTTTCCCATTATAAATAAAACTCTCCCATAGACAAAACACATACATGCGCAGGACAAGAATGAATCCTTTAATGTTTCTTTGTAGTTCTTCCTGATCAGAAGGTAATCCATGTACATTGAGACAGGCCTCAGTAACCTTTGCATCGCCCCCCGGCAACCTTCTCACCTGGTTTGGCAAGGTCCTCCTTCCCCGGCAAATCCTCCATCTTGATCCCGCCAAAGGCCTGGGCCTTGGCCGGCATGGAGAAAGCAGCCACTTGCCTATTGTAAAGGTCCTGAGCCTCTGCGCTGGCGATTCTGTCTGGATTTGTACTGAACACCCGTGCGACACCATCGCTGTTAATGGAACGCATAAGAGGTGGTTAGCCAAGAAAAATGGAATTGTTTGTTGGGGAAGCTACTGCACGTAAATCTAACATATGAGCAACCATCAGTGTTGTTCAACAGTCCAGCATCTATGCCAGTTGACTCTCTTAAGTAGCTTCAAACTAAACAACATAGGCATAGAACTCTTCTGGGAGCTAACACAATCTCACACTGCAGAAAACAAATGGCACAGTCCTTGTATTGAAAATAAGACACCAAGCACTGTGTCTTGTCACGATTACTGAGATGGGTCCTCAGCATAACAAACAGTGAGTATGAGGTTGGTTGAGATGGGTTTGATGTGAAGCATTAAGCGGCACTGTGGAAATGGATCCTATTTTCTTTATTTCACACCTGGATCCTGCAACAATGTCTCCATTGGGCAGTGCGGCCACGCACCACACTGACTGGGCAGGAAGTGTGATGGTTTGGCAACACACCCCTTGCCGCCAGACTCGGACGGTTCGGTCCTCCCCGGACGTGACAAAGTCGGCGCCATTAGGCAGCAACGCGATGCTGTAGATGAAGCTGGTGTGTGCCTGCAGCTGCTGGGTGCAGTCACCGGTGGTCAGCCAGCGCCGGATGCTACTGTCGTTGGCCGCTGAGAGAAACTCCACCTCTGAGACGATGGCGAGGGCTCGCACGCAGTCACTGTGACCTATACCCGTACCAATTTAAGAGTTCAGTTAGAAATGCAATCCAGTTTTATAGTTAAGTCCTTTTCTGAGTCCAAAAATAATCAGAAGTATGGTCTTTGAGCACTTGAATCCCCTTCCCTACGACAAAGAGAAAGACCGCATGATTGGCATTTCACCATTAGGTCATGGAAACTTCCTGCAAAATGTGCCCAGGAGGTGATTGGGTTGAGCCTACTGAACCAACTCACCGACAAAGGTCTGCTCGCACTTCCCAGCACGCCACATCTTGATGGTCTTGTCCGCCGAGCCAGTCAACATCAGGCCCTGGGTGGGCATGAGGGCAACAGCCCAGATGGCTGCCTCGTGACCTTTCAGGGTCATGACATTGCGCTGGTTGAGCCATACCTTGGCCGTTGTGTCCCATGAGCCACTCAGTAGGGTGCCAAACTTGCCCGCTGCCAGGGTGCAAACTGAAACAAGAATTCAGAAAATTACTGGACAATCATTTCAACTCCAAGATCAAGATCGAGTGTAAAGATCAAAATAATTAAAAACAGTACTCAGATGGGTATCAGAAGTCTCAAACATTTTGCCGAGCCTACCCACCTGTATTTGCATGGCCACTCAAGGTATACTCCGGTACTTGACTATCTGGCTTGTACATGTTGATCTTATGGTCATTCCCCCCAGTGGCTATCAGGCCATTAGGGTACTTGTCATTGGGAGGCAGGACACAGACAGCTGCAATGAAGTTCTCATGCCCTCTCATGCAGTGCTTTTCTTCATATCCACTTCTGCATTATTCAGAGAAAACAAAAATTGCCCATAAATTTCTACAAATCATGAGAAGGAAGTGAATAGTATAATATTATAACAAATAAATAATTTTCGTCCATGCTGCAATTTTTCGCCACTGTTTAAACTAAGATTAAAAGTAAGGTAATTCATTTCATTGTTTTCCAGGGACCAGATTATGAAATGTATATACTTTATACTAGTTGCAAAAACTTCTTCTAAAGCAGCGCCCTCTACCGGCTTATAATTCCCGTCATATCCGTCGTGCTTTGCTACGTAGTACGTGAACGCTACCGTGTGAACTTTGTTAGGTCCTGAATAAAATACAAGAAATGAAGGATACGTACCCTGTGGGAGCCCAAATCCGAGCAGTTCGGTCCCTAGATGCTGTTATAATTGATCCATTTGGAGAGTATGCGGCAGCAACGGCCCTGACATCCATTTCATGGCCCTCGAGATTACACGAAAACTTAAAAATTTCGTCCGTCATGGTGGCTGCCATTTTCTTCACTATTAACCTCGTCTGTTAATACTAAAAATATGATTAAACTCCGAAATATTTTTCAAGTTCAAAATGAAAAATTTTGAATTCTCAATTTATACTTCATTGAAAATAATTATCTTTTTGAACATTGTGTCTTATTTATGCTTGATATGATCATAATACGCAATATTTACTGTTAAATATTGAAGAAGGTAGAAGAGTATTAGCCAATTGGCATGCACGTAAAATTACTTATGAATATTTACATCACCCAATGTCATCTGACCAATCTCAGCTCGCTTTAGAAAATTCCTTGTCCCTATTTTTTGCGCCACTTGCAGTTCCGATTCAAACGCCGCGAAATCTGTACCTGTTTTTCTTCTAAACCTCACTCAAAAACACGTTGCACGGTACCTTAACTACAGCATCGAAATTATGGCAAAAGTACAGATTGAGAACGTCGAAGTACTGGATAATCCGACGTCCTACTTGAATCCGTTCCAGTTTGAGATAACATTTCAGTGCACAGAAGATTTGTCAGAAGGTAGGCAGAGTATGCAAGCAAGCCAAGCATGACGAGCTTCAGTCGGTGCCGTGCCGGTCATGCCGGTTCATTGCCCCCCCCTTAAAAATCCTAGCTTTTTGTCTCCTAGTCACGGGGTCCCACTGTCTCCTCTTATGAAAGAACACAACAACCCCTACAGTTGTGGTCAAGAAATCAAGTTGAAGATGCAGACATGTCAGCTGTCAGACATGTTTGTTTGGCATAATATAGCATGTTTTAATGATGTTTGTTTGGTCCACTTGTTTGGGAAATAATTCATTACATTTATCATCATCTTTCATATATATATACACTTAACTGTTTTAATGGGTATGTGTTCGACAAAGTAACGTGTTGTTGGATGTTACTTTGAGAACTCAAAGTCACAACTCCCTCATACTCCGTTATGACGGAGTAGTGACTTTGAGTTCATGAAGTAGTTGGACATGATCAGTTGATCTTATTGATTCTGTCATCATGGTCACCTGGTCATTAGCTGATCACCCTTTCTTTCTAATTTGTCATTTTAGAACATTGTTTTGACATATTTGAAAAACAGCATGAAGAAGGCATGAGGAGTAGGCCTAAGCACGCTAGGCCCTACCTATCATACCTATTATTTAGCATGGTTGGCATAGTCATAAATTTCAGACAGGGACTGGCAAGTTCGGTATAGCCTACAGGTATAGCGCAAGTCATGAATGTGATCATTTTGATCAACTGACAATGACATACTGAGCATGCCCATGTAAAGGTTTCATTTTTTATAATTTTGTTGTACATCGTCATCCATCCTCCAGATTTGGAATGGAAAATCATTTATGTGGGATCGGCAGAATCGGAAGAGCATGATCAGACGTTAGATTCTGTCCTTGTGGGTCCAGTCCCAGCTGGCCACCACCGGTTTGTTTTTCAGGTGAGTCTGGAACTGTGAAGTTTGTTGGGGCTGAAGAACCAAAGTTATTGCTGGACAAATTAACATCCTGAGCAAAAGCCAAGTGGGAACCAGTCATTGTGTGATCTACACATGGTTGCATATTAGTTGGTGACCTGTTTCGCCAAACCGGCGTTTCCTGTGCTTAGAAAATATTTACTTATTTGTTGTTTTCCGACTAGGCAAACTGTCCGGACACAACGCTCATCCCTGAATCGGACGCTTTGGGCGTGACCGTGGTACTTATCACTTGTTCGTTCCGAAACCAAGAGTTTGTGCGTGTGGGTTACTACGTCAACAATGAATACTCGGATCCGGAGATGAGGGAAAATCCGCCATCCAAACCTCAATTTGATAAGGTGAGGAATGGCCATCTGTGAGCTTGTGACAATGATCTACATGTATGTGTCTGTATCTATTTGGCCTACTCTGTCTTAATCACATGGCTGAACCTACAGATAACACACCTATCTAATGTGAGTGCTGGTTACATTTTTTTCTAAAGGTCGTCCGTAACATCCTCCACACGGATCCCCGCATCACCCGGTTCAAGATTGACTGGGAGGATACCATGAACAACGAGAACATCCCGCCCCAACAGAACATCATGTCCCCACCCTCATCGACAAATGGCATGCCATGCCCTTGCCCCTGCCCCCTAGACAAACTCACCTCAAACGACCTCGCCACTCCACTCAACACAGACAGTAACAGCAGTTTGCCTGAATATGTATCGGCCATGGAACATTAGATATTTATTTTTTTTATGTACATTTTTCTGTATGTGCTGTAAATACAACATTTTTTTTTCATAAAGAGAACAGAAAAGAGTAATTACGTCAGAATTTGTTTGCATGTTCAGTTGAGTTTGACATTTCAAAGGGAAAAATTTTAGCTCCATAGTTTCAAAGTTTATGTTAATTGGTATCTTCAATGTTGTTAGAAATGTCTACATGTATTTAAAATGATGGTCACAACTTTCTAATTCGTGTTAGTGGAACAATTTACTTTTCCATGAAAATGTCCATGAAAATGTCCAAACTCGTAATAAAAACAAACAGTAATAAATCATGTCTCCACAGATTGTCCTTGTCAGACTGTGTTTTGACAAATAATTAAGGGTAGTTTTTACCTTTTCATGAGCTTTCAAAAGTGCATATGGTTGCATGTAGGTGCGCATTACTAACAAAGGTTTGTTAGGCTTATTGTGAAAGGTCCTTTTTTGCCTGCAGATCTTGATCTTCACATGTATGTGTCTTTTTGCATCCCAAATTTTGCTGTTCATACCAATGAAAAATCACTTGCATCAAATAGATTTTAAAAAAACGGTGAATATGCTGTCAAAATGTGGCCATTCTCGAGTACATGTATTTAAATACTAATAAAGGCCTCTGAACTGATGACATCACACAATGTTCACATGTACATGTACGTTTTTCTACACAGCTAGTGGGGGCCCGTGGTCCGCTTAGCACCCTAAGAAAGCATACACAAAGTGTGAAGTCATGGTCCAGTGAGCACCATAAGAAAGCACACATGTAAACAGAGTTTGCTGTTATTAGTACAGATGTGTCTTTTATTGATGATAAGTGCACTGTTGAGTTTTTACAGCCTCTTTTGTATTTTTAGTTTTAAACTTTCCTGGTATACATGACAACCAGTTTTATTACTGTGTGCTAAACAAAGCCCCTTTGTAAAGATACATGTGACAATCAAATATGAAACAGGTTTCTTTTCTAGACCCTGTTGAGTGTGCGTAGATAGAAGAGGGCGCTGTGGTGTACAAAGAAGAGCAGCTAGCCATGCTTGTTCTTCACCTCTCAGCATATGAGCATAAATGATTGCGTACTAGGAGAGACAGCTTTAATGTGAGAACAAGAGCAAATATTTGTAAAGTAAGATATGGTTCCAAACCCTCACACTTCCAAGACAGGAAGCTCACAAATGCTGGTTCACATACCGAAGTAAGGATTGCCATGACTTTGTGTAATTTTAATGTATACATAGGCAAAAATAAAACTGAACAGTGAACTCGATATGCAGCTGTTCTTGTGTTTCTTGTACCCATACATAATATGTTCAGTGTTTTTGTGAAATAAATAAGAAATCATTACCTAGAGAGTTTGTAATTAATTTTGCATAAAAAAACAGTTTTGAGTTGATTTACAACGAAAATATTTAGAAAACTATTCTGAGTTTCCTGTTGTACGAAAGGGAATGAGGGCAAAATGAATGTAGAGGGGGCACCCGGGTTCGAACCGGGGACCTCTCGATCTGCAGTCGAATGCTCTACCACTGAGCCATACCCCCTTCGACACGAAAATGAGTGGAGCTTATGCAATTTATAAAATTATTTAGTGAGACGGCCAATTAGAATTAAATTTCAAAAAAATATTTATTTAACATCCAAATATTTCAGTTATTTGTATCATTTGAATAATGTCTAGGATCTTTCCATCCTATCTTTAGGCTGAAACCCGTTGTTGTCACTATTTAACTAATTTTACTGTGCGGTCAAAGGTCAATCATCTGGTAACGATGTCAACGAAATCAACGGTCATGACGGTCGGCATGTGATGTACAAATGACGAGGAAAACAAAATGACAATGTAAGATTTTTCAGAGGATTTTCTATTTCCGTCTGTACATTCAAATTACAAAGAAAAGTCTGCATAGTTGAGGTAACGCTGAAGTAACTTGGACCACTTTGCAATTTGGCCTGACGGCAAGCGATGACCACGATGACGATCGATGTTACGCCCCAACTATAGCATAATGCATAAGTCCCAACTATAGTTGGGCCCGTCCCAACTAGCTAGAGTGCTACAGTTGGGCCGGCCCAACTACAGCAGAGAGGTCCTGTGCCCAGTGGTGATGTGCCCAGCATGTGCCAAAGTCATATTGTTTACAAATGTCATGTCACTGGTTATAGGGCTAGATGAACAGATGAAGTGCCACATTTTAAATGAATTGTGTCAAGTGTGAGACACATTGACTTGGATAATGTTGAGACATTTGCCACAGACTCTCTGCTGTAGTTGGGCCAGCCCAACTGCAGCACTACAGTTGGGACTGTCCCAACTATAGTTGGGGCATAACATCGACATTGCATGCAGCAGTGCAGCATGTCGTCATTATCAATCATACTTTTGATGGTGTGCATGGGATGGATGGTTGTAGGTCAACTCGACCGTCTGCCAACTTGACTTGAGTCAACTCGACTCCTGATCACATTGCCGTTGACCAACTCGACTTCGAAGTCGAGTCAACTCGACCATTTATCAACTCGACCATTTGTCAACTCGACCGCATGATTGATACATGGGTTTATTAGATAAACCATTTCCTTAAAAAATAGATATTAAAAGGGGAAAATTAAAGATCGGATCGGTTCCGGGTCGCGAAAATTATGGATGCTAATTTCGGCTCAGTGAACCCTAGAAATCAACTGAAATGCAATCAGTAATTGAACGTGCGCCAACGAGATACTCCAAAATAATTTTCCCAATTTGAGGAGAAGCACGCACGCACGAACCCCCGAAATCTGTTACCACACTGTGCGCATGCACAGATCACATCACGCATAGTAAAACGAATTACAGGTACGATCCAGAACTAGGAAAAATGCATTCCTTCTATGCCCTGTCCCTGTTCAGGCTGTTGCACCATTTGCACAGTCGAGTTTGTCGAGAGTCGAGTTGGTTGAGAGTCGAGTTGACTCGAGTCGAGTTAGCAAACGGTCGAGTTGACCTGATACCGCTGGGACGGTTACCCCATCTAGCCCCACAAACAGGGCTGTAGTCAGGTCGGGAACCCAACCACAAACTAACGACGATGCCAGACTATGCATACGCTCCTTGTTTGTGCACTGATGACGTAATTTTTGAACTGTGTTTAGATCACGGTTTGCAGATAACATCGATCTCTTTATTGGCCAGAAACTTCTACACAAATTCCTGTGATCGATCAACTTTACAGGAAACATGCTATTTGGTATCTATAAAAGCGGATCGAGGAGATTTTTCGTTCAAATCTTGCACTGGATGTGTCGAATTTAGTGGGCAGGCGAGTCCAACTCTGTCGATGAAAACGTTTACGCAAAAAAAAGAAGCTCTGCCGAAGTTTACTTTATGCATGAAAATGTTGCCATTATAAATCTCCATCGATTCACTGTGGCAGATTTTATGTTTACCGGGGCGATTTTCCAAAATAGCGATCGAAAACAATTTTGCCATAGAATCCAACGGCAACGGTGGGCATGTTGGCTGCCGGCATTTCAAATCTCGTCATTTTCCCAAAATCGCATGGGAAAATTACATCATTATCACGTGACCTGATGAAAATGACGTCATTGCCGCTTGAACTAGTGACATAAGCAGAAACTAGGGACGTCGCTAGATTGTGGTTTGGTCCCCGACCTGGTGGTGGCTCTCTTTTACAATCTGTCTCTCATCTGTGGTGGCGACGGATAAGAGACAGATTGTAAAAAAGAGCCACTACAGCCCTATTTGTGGGGCTGTTACCCCACCATGCCCACAGAACATCATTTTCTCATTGCTTACAACTGCTTATCAGTTGAGTTGTGTGCAGACATGACAAAATAATGCTGTAGTTGATTCTGGTTCCTTGCCGAAAACCACAGTCAGCCTATGTGGTGGTACCATTCCATTCACTACGCTTTCCTTAAATTGAATGGGGCTTTGCCCTTTTCTAGGGGACGTGTCCAATAAATGGAACAGCCTCTGATGGAGAATGAACTAGTCGTCACAAATTCCCAGACCAAAGTGTAAGCTTGGGATCGTTTCTCGCATAATTTTTTGGAGCTTTTTTTACATTTTTCTCCATTTTCTTGAAAATAAAAATTTTTGTGAGTTCAAAATTCTTCATCCAGGTCAAGGAACCAGACTGCATAAATTTTCTTGTTTGTCACTGCCCACATCTCTTCATTACATCATGTACACTGCCGTTTTTATCCCATAATTTCCCTCAAAACTCAAAGTCCTGTTTCCTTTTCACAAACACTGTCTTTCTTACATGAAAGATGAAATTACCGCCAACTTATCTACATGTAGGTGAGTTGTTTCATAAAAGTGGACTTTGTTTCCATATTCCTTATGGAACCCACAGGCCACTTCAACAGTATGTTGTATGTTCTTCTGTACACAGATAACTTCATTTTAACACTCCTAGAAAGAAGGATAAAGACGATTAAGCATGGCAGATGAAAATTCCATTTCTGAGAAAGAGGTTGAGTCAGCCAAGGTGGAGGAGAAGGAGGAGGATACAACCAACGTAGCCAAGGAGTCCGACAGACTGACGCCAGGCAACGATGGACCCGTCAAATCCCGTACCCCTTCTGCCTCTAGCAAGAGGAGTGCCTCGCCGGGGAAGACTCCTCCCACTCCTGCCAAGGCCAAGCCGGCTGATAAAGGCGGGGCCAAAGGTGGAAAGGGCGGCAAAGCAGGTAATCAACCAATGGTCACACTGCATGCAAAAAGCTATCATGCATAAGTGGACTTCGTGGGATATTTGGATTGGTTCACATATTAGCTACATGTGTATAGTTCAATCTTTTCTCGGACTGAGACTTTTGAGCCAACCACAATCAGGCAAAAAAAAGATGAAATGAAAATTTACCAATGCTGTTTCTGCCAACATTGAGGAGGATTTTAGCAAATACAAGGATTCAGAGACCAACTATAATATTTGACATGCCTTTTCTTTCCACAGGTGCCAAGGCAGCAAAGCCAAAGAAGGAAGAGGTTGACGATAAACCAGCCGCTGAAGAGAAGGGTAAAAATGAGATGGACTTTTATTTTTTACAGGAAGTGTAACGTAATTAACTAATGTGTTTAGAAAAAAATAATCCAGAATTAGTCACTTCCAAGAATCGGGCATGGCAGTCTTGCCTTTCTTTTGACCAAGTGACACTATTTGTTACTCAGCGGCAACATGATCTCAGCCTCCTACTATAAATGATGAGCAGAGTATTTTGTTGCCTTTCCCAGGCCCTGCTGACGACATTGTGCCCTTGTTCCTGGCCTCCAAGACCCAGGAGCTCTTTGGCTGTGTCGCAGACGTGGACGTGACGGAGGAAAACCCTCACAAGTTTCTCCCTAAGGAGGGCATCCTGCAAGACATGAGGAACCGAGCCGCCGTGTCGGACTTCCACCCTGTCAAGCAGAGAATGCTGGTAAGCTGACGTAAGATGTAACATCCCTGGCAAAGAGAGTGGTTTACATGATAGACAAGCTTTCTTCAGCTGTGTGTATTCTGCTTTACATAATGTTCATCATGAAGACAAGAATAAGTCAATCAGCAGCTCAGTCAAGAAGTATCCTCAACCATTAACCTTTATTAGCTATTAATCTTCAACCTGTAACCTTCATTAGCCA